GAACTTCTCCGGGCAACCCGGAAAGGTGATGGGCGGACATATTGATCGCCTCGTGGCTGCCCGCATGCCTGCTGGCTTCAACCAAGCCAAAATCAGAGAATACCTCTCTTCACACTGGGGGCTAGGCCCCAACCGACAGACCACCGTCCTATGCTATGCCGTAACAATGGAACCAGCGGCTCGCCTTGCAGATGCCGGACAGGCAACTCAGTTCCTAGACTCAGTGGTGAGCCGATACGGCGGCAAGGCAAGCATAGCTTTACAGAAGAGGGCAGAGGGCGCAGCGGCACAGACTTCTGCTGTGGCCCAGGTCGACCTGGCTAGTCTTGAAACTCTCAAGAAGGACCAGAATGAGTACTTACACAAGCAGTTCCAGCTTCTGGCAAAGCATTTGGATTTGGATGGCGTGGCACAACCCAGTCAAACCCCGGTGCAAGGAGAGGATACTGATAGGCTGGCTGAATGGGATGCAGAGTTTGACGAAGAGTTCCTCACCGGCATGCGGACGATTTTCGATCCGCGCAAGGCTCGTCGTTATGATTCATGGTGGAATACGGCACGAGAGGACCTCATGGCCTTGTTGCATGATATCCGTCCTGTCGCCGAGGACAAGGCCTCACAGCAATACCAGAGCCTTGTCAACCGGTGGTCACCTGAGCTGGAGCAGATGCTGGACCATACAGCCCAGGATGACACGACAAAGGAGAAGGCCCAGAAGCTGATTGATGATGTTCGTGCTTCGGGCGTAGGCAACGGGCCGGTGTTCCGTTATACTCAGCCTGCTATGGCGCCTGAGACGAAAGTCGATGCAAACGGGCGCATCCAGTACTCCGAGGTGCCTCGCCATCAGCTCAACGGGGAAAGCAATGTTTCCACACTGAACTACGCGCAGGTAGTTGCTGCCCCACACCGCGACGTGCCTTATGCGCACCTCCGCAGTCGAGCCGGTGTGGATTGGAAGTATGATGCCCAGCTCACAGACATGTTTCTGAATATCTTATCTACCGGAGCATCTACCGGACTGTCATTTGCGGGCCGAAGAGTCTTGGTGACCGGTGCTGGAGTTGGTTCGATCGGAGCAGATATCGTGGCCGGGCTGCTGGCCGGTGGAGCGCGCGTCATCGTCACCACCAGTCGACAGCCGTCAGATGTCGCTGCATCCTTCCGCCAGCTGTACGCCAAGGTCGGTGCACCCGGGTCAGAATTGATTGTGCTGCCATTCAACCAAGCCAGCAAGCGTGATTGTGAGGATTTAATCAATCACATCTATGATGAGCAGTCTGGATACGGCTGGGACCTCGACTTTATCATCCCCTTTGCGGCCATCTCCGAGATCGGGCGACAAATTGACAAGATCGACTCCAAGTCAGAATTGGCGCACCGTGCTATGTTGGTTAATCTGCTGCGCTTGTTGGGATGTATTAAACAGCAAAAGGAGAAACGGGGTTTTGATTGTCGTCCTACCGGTGTTGTACTGCCCTTGTCTCCTAACCATGGTAACTTCGGTGGAGACGGCTTATATTCTGAGTCCAAACTGGGACTCGAGACCCTGTTCAATCGCTTCCATTCTGAGGGTTGGTCTGACTTCCTCTGCGTTATTGGTGCTGTGATCGGCTGGACCCGCGGCACGGGCCTGATGAGTGCCAACAATATTGTCGCCCAGGGCATGGAGGATTCCTTGGACATACTGACGTTCTCTGCCCCTGAGATGGCTTTCAATATTCTATCTCTTCTGTCAGGTGACATACTCGAAGTGGCAGACGACGAGCCGATCTATGCGGATCTGAGTGGAGGTCTTCAAGGGGTCAGCGACCTTAAGGAGAAGATTTCGGGAATCCGCAAAAAGATCGTCTCGCAAAGCCGGATCCGCCAGGCACTGGTTGCCGAGAATCAGCACGAGCAAAAGGTTCTCCGAGGGACGAAGCCTGCTGAAGATAATGTTCGGCCTCCTCTTAAACGACGCTCCAACATCGAACCGGCTTTTCCACCTCTGTCAGACTATAGCTCTGTAACCGCTGGACTTCAGTCCTTGCAGGGGATGGTGGATCTGTCTCGCACTGTCGTGGTGGTAGGCTATTCGGAGCTGGGCCCTTGGGGGTCTTCGCGCACACGATGGGAGATGGAGCATGACGGTCGCCTGTCACTGGAAGGTTATACCGAACTGGCATGGATGATGGGCCTCATTAAGCACTTTGACGGCGACCTCAAAGGGAAACCATACGCCGGCTGGGTTGACTCTAAGACAAAGGAGCCCGTCGACGAGGCAGATATCGAGGAGAAATATGGTCAGCATATCTTGGGCCACGCTGGCATTCGGGTAATCGAACCTGAACTGTCGGAGGGATATGATCCTTCCCAGAAAGAGATCATGCACGAAGTGGTCATTGATGAGGACCTTCCTCCCTTTGAAGCTCCCCAGGGTGTCGCCCAAGCATTTAAGCTGCGCCATGGGGATAAGGTCGCCTTGACGCCTCTTGAAGGTTCCGAATCTGTTAAAGTCGTGGTCAAGCGTGGTGCTGTCTTCATGGTACCCAAAGCGATGGCGTTCAATCGGTTTGTCGCCGGTCAGCTCCCGTCTGGGTGGGATCCAACTCGATATGGGATTCCCGAGGACATTGTCGCCCAGGTGGATCCCATGACTGTCTATGTTCTATGCTGCGTCTCTGAGGCCATGTATAGTGCTGGGCTGGAGGATCCTTTTGAGCTGTACCGCCACATCCACGTATCGGAGTTGGCTAACTGCGTCGGCACTGGAGCCGGTGGCTTGCTAGCTATGCGTGGCGTGTATCGGGACAGATACCTTGATCGACCGGTGCAAAGTGACATTCTGCAGGAATCTTTCCTCAACGCCATGAACGCCTGGACAAATATGCTCTTGATGGGTGCTGCCGGTCCTATCAAGTCTCCCTCAGGTACATGTGCAACCTCCGTTGAATCTATGGATATAGCCTGTGAAGCAATCCAGACACTGAAGGCCAAGGTCGCTATTGTTGGTGGCTCCGATGACTTCCAGGAAGAAATGTCCTATGAGTTCGGTAACATGAAGGCCACGGCAAATGCAGAGGACGAGCTTGAGAAGGGGTATCTCCCTTCGGAAATGTCTCGACCGACAGCATCTTCTCGCAATGGATTCGTTGAGTCCGCTGGTTGTGGTATCCAACTGGTTATGAGCGCCGAGTTAGCTCTGCAGATGGGTCTTCCCATTTATGGCATTGTTGCCTACTCCCAGATGGCAGGCGACAAGGTCGGCCGGTCTGTGCCTGCACCAGGTCAGGGTGTACTTACTGCCGCCAGGGAAAGCATTGATGCGGCGCAGTCACCCTTATTGAATCTGCAATACCGCAAGGCACGGCTGGACGAAGCGGTCTCCGAGATCAAGAGATGGCGTCACAAAGAATCCCAGAAGCTCATCGCGTCTACAACCTCTCAGGAGTTCAAAGATCTCGATGCGCACCTGCAGCACATCAATAACATCGCTGCGTCTCGCATCCGGGATGCTCAGTGGACGTGGAATAATAACATTCGTCATATCGATCCCACCATTGCTCCCATGCGCGCCGCACTGGCAACATGGGGATTGAGTGTCGACGATATTCAAGTGGCGTCCTTCCACGGCACGTCAACCAAGGCGAATGACAAGAATGAAAGCAACGTTATCAACCAGCAAATGACCCACCTGTCACGCACGGTTGGTAATCCACTTTTAGTCATATGTCAGAAGTCCCTGACCGGCCATCCGAAGGGTGCCGCAGGCGCCTGGATGTTCAATGGCTGTCTCCAAGCTCTCCAAACCGGTATCGTACCCGGCAACAGGAATGCAGATAATGTCGACGTGGCGCTCCAGCAGTTCAAGCATCTGATTTACCCATCACAGACCATCCATACATCTGGCATTAAGGCCTTCATGTTGACATCATTCGGCTTTGGACAAAAGGGAGGCCTCGTTGTAGGTGTTGCCCCCCGTTATCTCTTTTCCACCATCACGGCCAATCGGTTCGAAGATTACCGCGAGCGGGTACTGCAACGCCAGCAGAAGATCATTCCCGTTTTCCAAAAGCGCATGGCAGACGGCCGTCTCTTCCAGATCAAAGATCAGTCGGCCTGGACAAGTGACCAAGAAAAGGACGTCTTTCTTGATCCCCAGGCCCGTGTCTCCCAGAAGCCTACCGGTGAATACAGCTTTCCGACAACAGTTGGCTCCGGTGCCTTGCCGCAGCCCGGGAGGATCGTTTCCGATGATAAACAGCTCTTCGCCAGGTCTTCTGACCAATGGCTGCGCGACAGTATAAGCAAGGAACAGGGAAATGTGTCCGTTGGTGTAGATATTGAGTCTATCTCGAGCGTCAATGTGGAGGATGAGATATTCCTAGAACGCAATTTCACGCCAGGGGAACTCAGGTACTGCGAGGGCAGCCCAGATAAACAAGCGAGCCTCTCAGGGCGCTGGGCGGCCAAGGAAGCGATCTTCAAGAGCCTCCAGATCCCATCGGAAGGCCCTGGTGCTGCGATGCGAGATATTGAGATTGTCAGCAACGGTGCACAGCCTCCAACTGTTCTGGTAAGTCTACCCAAGTCGAAGCCGCCTTTGCTGTCATCATAACTTACCATTGCTTAGCTTCATAACCGGGCCAAATCGGCTGCCGATGCCCAGAAAGTAGAGGAGGTCCAGGTTAGTATCACGCACTCCCCAGAGAGTGCCATGGCCATTGCTTTAGCGCGACGTCGGTTATAGAGACAGTTTCCTTCTATTGTATCTTTTCGGAACGTTTATGCGGAGTTCATTGTTTATATATAGATTGTGATACATAATTAGACTTTTGTTATTGTCTGGATGTCTTTCTGAGTACGGTAATACTTGCGAGAGCCAAGCGTAAATTTCCATGCTTAACTACGACACAATAGTCTTGCTCCATATGCCAAAGTGCTGTATACAAGGTATCTGTATTGGCCAGTACATAGGTTCCTTGCGTCACGCAATAGATGTCCCTCATTTCGTCCAATCAGACCTTTCTAATCCACTCAATATCGTCTTCCATATGTCTGTTGGCCCGTAGATCACCAGATCGCGCATGAGCCTCAAACCTCTCAGCTCGAGCAGCTCGTCCACACAACCGTCCGAGCCTTCCACTGGCTTCCGGCGAAGTTACTTCTTGGTAAGTGCATGTTTTCAGATACTTGCCGACCCACAAACCACCAGTGTATCGAGCAGTCGTCCGAGTGGGGAGGACATGGTTCGTTCCGATTACCTTTAAATAGTCTGTTAGTCTACTTTCACCGAGATAGTATTTCTCCATTGTCCAGCATTCCGAGTACTTACCTTATCACCATACGATACGCATGTGTTCTCTCCCAGGAACAGCGCCCCGTAATTGGTCATTTTAGTCAAGGCAGCTCTGGGATTCTTGGTAAACACTTGGACATGTTCACTTGCATAATGATCGCCCAGCTCCCAGAGCTCATCCATAGTATCCACAACAATGACCTCCCCAAACGCATCCCATGAGGCTTTCGCCACGTCTGCGGTTGACAGGTCCGTCGCAGAAAGCAGCTTATTGACGATCTCAATGGTCTTCCGCCCAACCTTGGGACACGTCGTAATCAACACAGCGGGAGTATCCGGTCCATGCTCGGCCTGAGAGATCAAGTCCGTAGCCACCGTAAACGGATCAGCCGTCTCGTCCGCCAGGATGAGGATCTCGGTGGGACCCGCAAAGAGGTCAATGCCGACTTCGCCAAACAGTTGTCGCTTGCCCTCGGCCACGAAGCGGTTTCCAGGGCCGGCGAGGAAATCAACTTTACGTATTGTCTCGGTACCCACTGCCATGGCGGCCACTGCTTGAACGCCTCCCAGAAGGAATATCTCGTCTGCCCCTGCCAGGTGCATGGCTGCGACCGTGCTATACGGGATCTCGCCGTTGATCGGGGGTGTACAGCCGATGACGTGCTTTACGCCGGCGACTTTGGCGGTAAGGATTGTCATGTGTGCTGATGCGAGGAGCGGGTAGCGGCCGCCTGGGATGTACCTATGATTTCCCATTGTTGTTAGCTATATTATGGAGGAAATATAGTATGTTCTTGCGGGAGGTCTTCTGTGGAAAACAAGATAGCAACATACGCGCCGACGGTATTGATGGGTACATTCTTCTGCCCGAGGTGCACTCCAGGCTGAATTTCAATTTCAAAGTCTCTCAAGGAGTTCTTCTGTGCTTCTGCGAAAGCCCGCACGTTTTTCTGTACCTCCTTGATATCCTCGATGGTCTGCTCAGGACACATAGCTATCGCAGCCTCAATTTCGGCTTTGGATAGCTTGAAGTTCTCTGGTGACCATTTGTCGAATTTCGCGGAGTACTTTCTAACAGCAGCGTCGCCGTCTGCGCGGACTGCGCTAATCACCTCCTCCACGACGGCGGATACGTTGATGGAGGATGACTGCGTCGTGTCTGAGGGACTGGCGCGGGATTTAAGATATTGTCGAGCCATGCTTGTTGCTTTGTAATACAGTTGAGAGTTGACAGTTGACAGTTGACAGTTAATCGTGCCCTAGAGAGTTATAACTAGAACTGATCATGATGCTATACTTATACCAATTATATACAGAGTAAGTTTAATGATATATCGGACTTCGTTGCGAGGCGATCTTCAAATCGTATTGCTCCAAAGTCTGCAGATAACTATCCGAGTCGGAACTACAGATCCGACAAGTAGGCCGATTGAGGTCGTATTCGGCTCGATTTCCATGCTTAGAACTTGTAATTTGACTGCATTTGTGGGTCGGAAAGCGACTACGCAATGCACATGGCCTATGGGGTGTTTGCTTGTTCGGCAAATAGACCGATGTCTGAAGTTGGGGTTGAGAATGTGAGGGCTCGGCATGGTTGTGGAATATCAACTGTAGCCCTAAGCCTCCACCCAACGTCTGTGTTGCTTAGTATCGTACCCTTACAACATGCTATTGTTCAATAGTGTAATGCAGATATTGATATTCTGAAGCAAAGTAAAATTCATAGGAACCAGTTCTAAATATATCGTGCTATCCGACCATCAATACGAGAGCAGATATGCCCAACACCAGTTTATCTCCACCAACGATCCTCATATCGCAGCACCTCTCCACGCGATGAAGCCCATCAATTCTTATCCCTTATCTCACTTGCCCACTCTGCATGCTCCGCTGCCCCCTTATTCACGGCAGTAGCAGCCTTCTCAATCTCCTCCTCCTCCCGCTGAATATACTTCTGCGGCCGTCGCCGGCAGATTGCATCTGGATCTTTGGTGACTATCAACGCGGGATTGGACCGATAATACTCGTCCATGTCCTCCAGGCTTCGGTTCGCTACAGGTCGCCATTAGTAAGTATATCTCTGTCGCAGCGATGAAGCCAGACAAACCTGTTTCAGGGTAAAGAAAGTAAAGAATGGGTAGGAACGCAGCATTAGTCACCGTCCATACGATCCAAAATTTCCAGTCTATGTTCTTAATTCCAATGGGCGTTATTTCGACGACAACGAAATTTGTTATCCTTTCCATTCCGAGTTAGCGAGAGACTTGGCAGGAGAGGGCAAGAAACAAACCAGTCAGTAGCCGTCGCAACAGCCGCTCCCTTCGTTCTCATGGGAAGAGAATTGATCTCCGTGGGGTATAGCCAAGGCACGCCGAGCATCCCGATGCCAAATGCGCCGTAGTAGAGGAAGAAGAATGCGACTGATGCCGAGGCATACCTCTCGCCGTTGTCGCTAATACGTGAGAACCGAAGTAGAATGGTAATGATGAGGAAGCAGAGAAATTGGCCGAACGTGGAGAGGAGCATCAAGCCTCGGCGACCCATTCTCTCGACTAGGAGGACTGCAAGGCCGGAGAATACAAGGTACGATAGGGCGTTGCATGCTGCTAGCAGACGGGCCATTGTGTCGGACAGTCCGACGGACTAGGTAAAATCATGCGTTAGCTCGTTATATAGACTCTCCCAGATGCAATAGGGGAACCACTCACGTCCATAAGCACCGTAGGCAGATAATATGACATGATGTTGATTCCTCCAAATTGCTGCATGAACTGGCTGCCGGCACCGAGGAGAAGTCTGCGGAGGGTGTTGCTGTCGTTCCCCTTTTTCTTCCACAGATCTCGCCACCGCATGGAATTCTCGCGCTCGTACTGCACACTATATTCGATCTCGTTGCGCTGCGCGATGACGAAGGGGTCGTCGATGGGCTTTGCCTCGAGACAACTGAGTACCACTGTAGCTTCTTCTTGTCTCCCATGGGCTATGAGCCATCTATTTGCTGTTAGCAAGTCCGGTGGGAAAGACGGAAGAGAAGAAAGCTACCGAGGCGATTCAGGAAGCCATGGTGTAGTGGACCACAGAATAATCAAGAAGAAGAATTGGAATGCCAGCGGGAAACGCCAAGCGATGGAACTACCAACGAAGGAGAGACCATAATTGATCCAGTTGACGAGGCAAAAGCCGAAGATATTCATCATCATTTCAAAAATGACCAATTTACCACGCCATTTCAATTGTGACGTTTCGGTTTGCCAGATAGGCGCAGTCGCGGTATTGATTCCATTGCCGATACTATCGGTAACCAAGACATTAATGTAACGAAATCCAAATGAACTGATAAAATAATTAATGCGGTTTACTCACCCCAGAATAATGCGTCCTACAAACATCTGGGCCAGTCCAAAAGAAGCAGCTTGTAGCACAGCGCCAACAGCCATAACAGTAGTTCCTAGCATGATCGCTCTTTTTCGCCCTAGTTGCTCTCCGATTGTGAAGGCAACGATTGCCCCGAAGAAACAGCCCACATCATATATCGCTGTTACCGTGGACAGTGTCTTCGTTTTCTCAGGGCCGACCAGGTCATGGACTTCCAGAAAGTCTTGTGTGATAACCACGCCGCCTATGCTGTGTTAGAAGGAACCTTTCTTTGTCCATTGGGAGAGATTCTTACTGAAGACTCCCTGGTCGTAGCCGAACAAGGACATATCTGTTGCGCAAGCAACCTAGTAATTTCTCAGCACAGTGCAACAGGCAAATGTATTTGAATAGTCATACCGTAACCCAGAATGTAAGCCATCCTCCAGTCAAGCCAAAATAGGGCTTCTTGGTTGTGGGTGACACTGTCATGCTTGAAATCAACTCTGCAGCGGCTCAACTGTGATCAAGTTGCCGTTGCGTGCTAGAGGCAAGGAGCCACGTGAAACCGCGCATTTTCCGGACCCATCGCATCTTATATACGGTAAGATTAACATCCCAATTCCCGATATGGACGGGATACAAGATCCACTTCATCGCTCAACACAGTCCATAGGCCGTTTGCGGGCGTGGGGGAATTGTGGGGAGAATCCGGGGTAAGAAGAGATTACATAAACAGACTGGAATCAGTGATCTTTGTGAAGGATCGGAGGAAGTCCGGGACACGGAAATGGACCAAGTACGGACATCGAGGCGACCTCGTCTCTCGGCTCGATTACCCTCCGAGCGTCTCTCCCCAAACAGTTCGTCAGCCGAAGGTGGGCCACCGTGCATAGTAATTACAAATAGAATTTGTTGTTTCCATGAAGGTCATGTCGCTTGCTATACCCTGAGCGCAAAGGGTAGGTCCAGATACACAATTTCAATGGACAACAGATCTCAGTTCAGATGGGTTAACAGCCATGGTATGTCTGCTGACCATGCAGTGCTAGAAATTCCGGGTCTCTTGATGGTCGAGTTCTGCATGCCGTGCATGCAAAGGTGGACCATGATGCGTTGTCCAGCGCGCCATCGTCTCGACTCTGGAAATCAATTACCGAGAGACAAGTCTAGACGTCAGGGCTTGCTGTGAGAGTGAACATAAATAAGAAAGAGACCCCGTTGGAGCATTGTTCATACTACAAAGTCATCCTATAGCTGAGAACACAATCGCTATCATGACCACCGAATCCTCTACTCCTGACCACACCCTCCCTTCCCGTCCGGCGCCGTCGAAAAGCGCTGCCGTAGCCAACAATGAAGAGTCCAAATTGACCGCACTTGAAAAAGCCGAGCTGGCCCTCGCAGACAAATACAGCTCGCCAGATGTTTATATCGACGGCGAAAGAGACACTTGCTGGCATCCGTGGCTTAACAATCTTGAGTTGAAACCATTGCGGTTCGAGAGCCGCACAGGTACATTTGTCGTCGTCTTACGCAGCTTGGAAGATACATGGTTGGGAAAACACCGCCATCGAGGCTCTGTGACTGCAGTGACCTTGAAGGGGGAATGGAACTACAAGGAGTATGTTGTTATATCTGTTATACGCACTCAAGATTTGACATATGCTAACTGGGATCAGGTATGATTGGGTAGCAAAGCCTGGAGACTACGTGGTGGAAAACCCGGGAACAATCCATACACTCCACATGTCCAAAGGAGCGGAGGTGGTTTTCACAATCACGGGCAGCTTGGAATATTTCCATGATGATGACACCTTGAAGAACACCATGGATATCTTCAGTTACGCGCATTTGTACTATGAGCACTGTAGAAAGCAAGGGATTAAGCCAAATGACGGGCTTTGGTATTAGTGGTCAGACGCGGTGCAAAGTGGTAGAGAGCAATGGTTTTTAGTTAATTGACTTACCTGTTTCCGAATAGCGACATGAATCGTATTTCCTTAGTTTACAAATGGGAGAGTTGGCCAATCCTTTCCGAAGGGTGACCACTGCTGAAGGTAAGGGTTCTGGAATTTATATAGTATCTCCTGTTATCTGCGCCCAACTCTCAACTTGGCTTCGGCACCAAGCTTCGCCAAGTGGTCCTAATAATAAATCCCAGAAAGTAAAACCTTCAAATTAAGACAATTGCAAAAACAATAGAGGAGAAGTAATACGACCAGAAAAAAGATTTCCCCCGGCATGCAGCAAGTCGAGTGAGTTACGAGCATTGGCCAAAAAGCACCGGGAAAAAGTCCCTGGTCCCACCTCGGCATGATTGCCGATCATGAAACACAGTCCATAATTCCCACAGATACAGTTCCCGTCTACAACACTGTGCTGCTCGCCTGCCCATTTTGGCCATCATAGCGATAATGCGTACGTGGACTGGTAAGTGCCCGTGTCTAGTCTATCGCATCCGATCACCAAATTCTGACTGGATTGTGACGTAGGGTGGTAGGTCAGAAGGATTCAGATTAGAGCGCTTAAGCTAAAGAAAGCACCGACAGTTTGACGTGCCGGTCACGCAAGGTCAAATGTGATGGGAGGAAGCCATTTTGTCAGAACTGTGAACGAGCTCGGATTGAGTGTATCCCCAGTGATTTGGTTTCATTCAGACACTGGCGACATCCGTCCCGTAGCGAGGATGGATACTTGGGCCTCTGGGAGCCGGGCCAGACCTGGGTGGAGGTCAGGATCGAAGCTTTGGGGGTAGCGAGCTGTATGACCCCCAAGATATCATCTTTGACTGGCAAATTCTGATACGAAGAAATTTGGTGTAGACGAGTTTGTGGATGAGACCGAGACAATAGCAGCAGAGTACGAAATTATCAGCGAAGAACCAGTCGTGCTCACTCCGGGCACCCATAGTGGAATATGGAATGCAACAAATGCTGTTGCATATGGATGTTTACCAGCAACGGACCAGGCAAGTACAGCATTGCTACCATCCAGTGCAACTCACTGGAATGAGGCTAGAGGGGATACTATTGAACATTCAACGCCAGCGGAGGCTGAGCAAGCGTATCCGCAACATGACACCTCCATTGTACAGTCTCGAACAGATTCCGATGGGATAAACGATGGAGCGAGCGTTCAACGCATGGCTATAAGCAGATCCAGCAACTCTACCGATGACACAGGTGTAACAGCAATCGCAAACAAAGGAGCAGAGGCACTGCTGTCAATGAGGAGCCATGCCTTCGACCCTCGATTGAATTACGCTTCGAGTAGCATCTCACCACCCCTATCGGAGAGCTCACAGAGGTATTGGCGCCAGGACAGTCCCATCGCCTCTGTAGCACTCCCACCGACCCCAGACAAGCTAGCACCACCGGCCCCTCTAAGCTCACAGGAAGAGGCATGGCTACTGCGTCAGTTTAGCACCGAAGTAGGTACCTGGATGGATCTCTCAGACCTGTCGGAGACCTTCTCAAAAAAGGTCTGCCGTTTGGCAATCCAAGACCCATTGCTCAAAGCAGCAAGTATCGCATGCGCGGCGAAGCAACAATTCTTGATTGGGAAATTACCAAATGTGATGGATATCGCACGAAGAAATTATAATACCGCGATCTCTCTGCTGATCGATAGACTGGGCAACAACGATGAACCATTCGTCAGCTATGGCTTTGCAGCTACAGTCATTTGTTCGTGCTACGAGATGTTAGATGCACCTGCATCGGACTGGCAAAGACACCTCGACGGGGTATTTTCTTTCAGCAAAGTGCGCAGAGTGAACGGGTCGTCTGGTGGGATCCAGCAGGCTGGCTTTTGGTCGATCGCACGACAGGAGGTGGTCTGCTCGATTATACACAGATCAAAGCTGCGGCTAGACCCGGATTTATGGGCAATTGATCTAAATCATATAGGTCAGGAAGGTAGTGAGGACCTGGTTAATAACCAGTAAGTGTTTCCATGTGCTCGTAACTTGATCAACCTGGTTAATAATGACGAATAAAGGATCCTCACAATTCTTGCAAAAGTGGTTAACTTTATAGCGTGCTCAGACGCCACTTCCACGAGTGATGCACTGAACGAATGGTACAGACTGTGCGACTTGCTCAACCACTGGAACCGTTCGGTGAAGGACAGAAGCTTCATGGACCCAGTCTCTGTGTACAAGGAGGATGATAAGCCTTTCGTAACAATATGGTTTGCGAGAGGTGTTTGTGGTAAGGTCATCCCACAGTCCAGAAGATGGACTTACTGACAACGTGCAGCTTCCTCGTGGCAGATGTTTCACCTTGCTCAGATCTTACTTCTTACATCTCGCCCTACACAAGACGGTAGTTGTATGCTGGCGTTCAGGAGAATAGAGGTTGGAATGCCCACTACCACACCCTCGCAAATGGAGCTAAGCCATCATCAGGGAAAATTACTATACCACGCAAGACAAATATGTGGTATAGCTCAAAGCAGCCCACACGGAAGTTGTCGTGTAAATTCGGTTCAGCCGATTTACTATGGTATGCAACACTGGCTCCTTTGTGTTAGGAGACCCGCTGATGCCTTTCAACTGTAGCTGGATGCTGTTTTAGCAACAACGATGAAAGAGAAGCAGCCATTATGCTTCTTGAGGATATCGAGAATGACACCGGCTGGGCAGCCAAGTATCGCGCCTGGGATCTACGAAGCCTGTGTACCGACATCTAGATACACGGAGCGGGGTGCACGTGTTGCCAGATGCCCAAGCGACGCTAGGACATTAGTTGCTCGGCGAGAATGATATGAAGATTATTGTTCAACATTGTGCGATAAAGGATAAAGCTATCAGTTCTTGATACACAATTCTCGCCAATCGGCGACCAGGGTACATTGGAAACAGCAGTTCTCAGCTTCGATTGCCTAGAAGGTCTGAGATTAAAACGACATAATCGCCTCATCCAAATCCAACCTACAGCGAAAAAGGAAAAACAAACAAAAGAAAAAAGAACCCCCACATGAATAATGCAGGCGCAATGGTATCGCAACGTGATGAATTGGTTACACATATTTCCCGGACGGCTTCACGAAATACAGCTATTCCGCACGCATGAGCCGCTCCAGTCGGCACCGCAACGAATGCTGGAACCACATAGGATAAGCGCGAAGACGCTGCGCGAGAGTCCCAGAAGCACCGGGTAGAAGAACATTACCGCTCTCACCAGTCAAAACTTGATCAACAATGCCCTCGGCGACTGTGTCGGGGTGTAGAAGGGGAGCTAAGAAAGTATCCTCCGGGGTCAGATTGTTAATCAAGGCAGTGCGCGTGAAGCCCTGGGTAACTAGTACGGTACGGACACGTGGTGCCTGATATCGCGTAACCAACTCGGCCGCCAAACCCTCGTGGAAAGCGATGGCAGCGGCCTTGGAGGCGGAGTAATCGACCATGTTGGGGGTGACGGTGTATCCGGACTGGGAGGCAACAGTAACCACCATTCCGTGGTTAGTCGCGATCATGTCCGGTAGAAACTCCCGCGCCAGCCAGTAGTGCGAAAGAGTATTGACATCAAACAAGCGTCGGGTCACGGCCTCAGTGGTGCTGAGGATGGTGTTGCCGGTAAGGATGCCCGCATTGTTAATCAGGATGGTTGGCTTGCCGAACGAGGCGCGAATCTTGCGGCCCACCTCGGCGATATTTTCGGGGGAGGTAATATCGCATTCGTAGTAGCGTACACTGCTTGGCAATGAATCTGCCGGGGGCGCGATGTCCAGGATGGCGACCTTGATGCCGCGATCGCCGAGCAGCTGCGCAACTCGCCGTCCAATCCCGCCACTACCACCAGTCAGGACGATCACTTCACGGTTCCAGTCATAGTGGTCTTTCAAGCCATTATTGACGGAGCGACGGTCCAGCCATGCGCTGAGCCGATGAAGGACCGCCAGCGAGGCTAGCCCCTTAAGGGCCTTGAGCACCTGCGGGCGCGACTCGAGGATCTCACGGCCCTTCACAGTATACTGGGCTAGTACTAGCAGTGGTACCATCTTCCAGGGGCTGAGTAGGGTGCGGTGGATCCAATTGCCGACCACATCGGCTGTGAACCCTGGCTTTTGTTAGCCCGCCTAAAGTATAAGAGGGCGATGGTTAGCGCACCTTCTCTCGATGGCCATTTCTTCGCCTGTGGTGCCATTCTTGCGACGGTTATTCCAGCACCTTCACACTTTTAACAAAAGTGGTGAATAAGTTGGGATCAGGTTGAAAGGCAACAGGGGAGGAAGATAAAAGGAACCGCATCTGACCCAATCTGACAGATGATCTGCAACCCTAAGATAAATTATAAAGCGGGGGCAGCCGAGGTCCGCGCATAAAATGCATTTGATTCTCCTGTGCATTTTTATACACTGTGAACTGTGATAACTTTATTAATAATAGATGAATAATAACAATATTGTTACAAGTCAACATGTACATATCAACGAGTTATATTTCGTTATTGTACAACAATTGAATTTACCAAATGGGGTACTACAGTCAGTATCTTGACTTCGTATCATATTACATTAATACCTACTTCTTCTACAAAACTTGGCAATTCAGATATTCAGCCTATTATAGAAGCTCACGAGTAGGCTATCATGAGGCGCTTTATCCCAGGAATACTATCTCGAATTGTACTAGTTGCTATTGTAGTAAACGACAGATCACATATAAGTGTATTTTAACATATCCACAGAGGAAAAGCTACATTGCCACTTATGTTCAACCCTTGCTAGCTGAATGTGTTAGAATAGATTGTCCGTGCTATTAAAAGCATAAACCCCCGAAAATGTATGTAAATTACACTGTCTCGCCCTCACTTATTATCCGTCGCCCCTAAGGCCTTCAGGTCCTCCTCGATAGCTGGCCATGCACCTGTTCGCAAACTATACGAGAGCCACCAATTCCCTGATGCATCCTTTCCCACAATTCTACCAGTATTACGCGAGGAAAGACCAAGCGTTAGATATCCAGGATTGATATATGATGGTCTTCCATGACCATGCGTGCAGTCAGTCCACCGAGTTTCCTTCATTATGACAGCTGCGGAGAAGTCCACGTCAAAGAGCCTAGATCTGTTCCAGTTACTGCAACCAAGCATGAGACCGTTCGATGCACCATATATCGGTGTATCAAGGATATTCTTCGAATGAGTCTTGCATCGCGCGTAGCAAGCCTCAACCTGGGGCTTTGTGCGGTGCTGTACTAGGCTACGGCGGATCTGAGATGCAAGAGCACTAATTGGTTGGTTAATGATCTGTTCCGTGGGTAGAAATGTGAACGATCCTTGGACGGCGTTGGTGACAAAGGCAGTATTACTTTGGGTGGATTCGGGAAGTGCGATGCCACGGACATCAAAGACATTCAGGAGTGTTGTCAGGCGATTGGGAAATGGGTCTAGCGCCCTCGTTTGCGCTCGCGTCCACCATGCGAGGAGCACATCACTTTCGCTGAGGAATGGGGCGCCTTCTTTATTCTGTTGCTTCAGCTCATCCAGTGAGTTGGCCCGTAGTTGTTCCACAAAGCGCTCCGGGATGCACATTATGCGCTCCTTTTCGCGTGGGTACCAGATCCGCTCGAAAATGTACCATAATGCGAAACACAACAGCCCAAGGCTTTGCAGCAGAAACCTATCATTAGCATAGGGCTCCCCTGCAGTATCCTTGCCTAGGTACTGCAATGGGGTCTCGCCGATCCCCTGAAACTCTGGGACCTCTTCTTCTCGTCCGCTCATAACGGCAGTCCATGCCTGGAAGAAGCCGGCCAACCACATGATATCGGCCAACGTGTGTATCCACGTAACGGTCACGAGCGTCGCATCGTTGAACGATACCACGTGAATGGCCAATTGTGGTCTGTCTGAGTAAAGCCAGTCCTCGATCTGCCGTGGGCTGTGAGGTCCTAAGCAGAGAGGCAAGAGCTCCGTTGGGCAGCCAACCAACGCAGGTTGCGAGCTAGCTTGAGGGAACTTGGCACCCAGAGGGTGATCGTCGATGCCCATGGAATAACTCGCCACCGTGAATTCTGCTCCGGGCCTTTTTGCATCATATTCCACCGGCACATGGTACTCCAACTTCCCATTATCCTAACTGGATGTCAGCTCCAGGTTGAATACCAGCCACGGCACACCGTCTAAATCAATCCATACATTCAGTCGTAAACGTGCGCCTAGCCTCCGCCAGCCATCCAGCTGTAACAACCGCTCCAGCGAAAGGCGAAGCACCTTTGTGTCAAGTATATTGTCAAACCGGCAAGTAACATGCACAGAGATGGCGCGTAAAAGTGGCAGATCATCTGTGAATGACAGTGGTACAACGGTGTCCGTCGGAACCCTTTCGGGACGAGGCGGCTTGTTCTTACTGAAGAGACCCATGGACTCGCACACGTAGATACTGCAATACTGTTCTTCTCGGTGTTGATAGTTGCTCTTTGGGAGAAAACAAGGGCCAAGCGAAATTTATCCCTTTGATTGCATATTTGGCATTCGTTTTCGGCCGTATGGACGTATTTATGTAGATCGTTCTAGTCTCGGAAATGCACACGGCTGAAGAAAAGAATAAACTTTGCCCTGAATGTCGATCAGTGAAAATGGTTGAATTGCTTTGTGGACCGCATACCTCATGTTGCAATCTTCAATTTCCAATGATGTGTTGGAAAATGTTGTTTCGCGCAAGATTGTCTATTTCTTTCATTCTGGGAATGTGTGAATCATGCCCATGGCCAGGTTCTCTTGATGAGCGATCCAGTGGTCTAAGATACTTAGCCAGTATCAAGGGATGGCTAATTAGGACTCCTTATACTGACAAACTCCTACAAACATTGTAAAGTTGCCCAAAAGCCTTTCAAACCAGGAGGCAGGTAAGATATGAAAAACTAGTGGAGAAGTTAAGGGAGTAGCAAAAATGTCCAGCGTTGACACCTTTGTTGTGGCCAAACTCAATTCTTGCATTCAATTGAAAGAAATAATATTGATCCACAACGAGCAAAGTCCACTGGAAAATCTGAAGGGAGGGAAAAAAAAAAAAAAAAAAAAAAAAAAAAAAAAAAAAAAAAAAAAAAAAAGAAAAAAAAAAAAAAAAAAAAAAAAAAAAAAACTAAATCCAAGAGAAGGAAGACGAGGTTAAAGACCAGAGACGGTAAGACAGAGATAGCAAGAGCCATATTGTAAACCAGTGAGATCCATTGTGTGTTTGCCTTCGTTGTTTTTCCCTTTCCTCTGCCCTACAACTGCCCCTTCCAAGGCGTACTACCCCCGTACGCTAACTACACGACATGAAGCAATGCGTTTGGCCCTGTGTACCCAGCTCATCTAGCGCAGGATCCCGTCTTCGCAGCCAATTTGCCAACATGTTCGTGCAATGATCGGTATGTTCCTGGTCGGCCAGCATTGTGTCCAGGCGATCCCCACGCATGTGAACATCATGAGCCCGCCGCAGGAGGTATAAGCAGTGGACTAGGTGCTCCCGGTTCGAAGTCCAATAAAACCCGTTGACGTTGCGGCCGACTTCATCGTAGTCCTTCATCTGTCGGGTCATTTCCTGATCGTAGTAGTATATAAACGGCTTGCCATTATTAAACTCCGTAAACTCCTTCACATAGTCGTGCGGACACTCCTGGTGTAGCCAGCACGCCGAAAGGGGGTCATATGTGCAACCGAGCGATTCAGCCTCGTCGGTGGAATTGCCGCAGGAGAGTCTGGTCCGGGACGCTGTGGGGAGACACTGTCGCTGACCATCATGGTGGGAGCCCGAGTAGACCGAGGAGTGTTCCAGACTTAGGGCTTGTCGAACAGGCTGGAGGGTGATTGCTGCAATCAATGTAATTACCAGCAGCAGCAGGATCAGGAGGAGACCTGTGATGGTGATCGTGGCCAGGTTCCGCTTGAGGAACTGCTGTACGGAGCGGCGTCGTAGCCGCACTGTCAGCGTAGTATCACTATCACTGGGATCTCCATCATTGTCTGCCTTGGGGACAGGTTTGTAGTTGCGTGGATAAATCTTCTCCATATCGATATAGAAATGGTATATCGTGGAGAAAGAGAGCTGACTCTCGCGTATCAACTTGCAAAGGAAAGGAATGGCCTCCCTCAGTCACAAGGGGGCGGCCAGTTTACTACACATGTTTCTATTTGGAAGCACCATTTTCATTCACTTATTCAGTTGGGAAGCCTGACAAAGGGAGTACGCTTGGGCAGACCAGATTGAGATATCAATAAGGGCTCACGGGCACGGCCACCAATCACATCGGACGAGGGAATGGATTCCGCTTGTGAATAATCGTGTCAATAATTTTATTTCGCATGTGGCGTGGATAGACCCAGATTGCTCTTGGGAGACAATGAAAAACGTGTACGAACCATGGGAACCGCATTCTTATGCACCAGTCAACGGACAGGTGGTCAATTTCCCCAAGGGTGCCAAGACTGTTGTCAGAGAGAACCTCAATGGGTGAAACTGTCTGTTCTAATTCACAAGTGGAGGACGAACTTGAGCTGATAGGCAATACATGGCATTTCGAGCAATGTTACCCAAACCCTAATATTTTACCACGTGTGTCACCCAGGTTTGGTCTTACGTCCCTCCATTTCTAGTGATATCCTGCAATATGTATTTCTATAGGAAATACTATATTATTAAAAGTATAGATGGCTTTTAAGCTTCCAGTTTAACCCTTCATATTTTTTTGGTGATTGTTTGAGCAGTGTTCATGGTATAAACATTCTAAGACGCTATAGTCCCTAAGCTCAACAGTGGTACAGAGCAGTCCTTAAGCGTACGAGCCACTGCAGTAGCTGTACCCGAAAATATAAAGTGTTGGAAGCCTTAAGGTACTTATAAAGCAGTAAATTTGTCCCGGACCGGATTAATTAATCATACACAATTATTTGGACTATTGCAGATTATCGGCAAATCCAGTAGAACTCGAAAACAGATTTAATTGATTTGTCGATAGTGATACCTGAACAGCTGGTAAAGTAGCTCTTTTCGGTCAGCTTCTCTCCATCAATTCTTGAAAATGAGTGAAAATATATATATACCTTAAACTTAAATATAAACAATAGACTGTATAATGTCCTAACCAGCCTTTTTCGAAGTGTAGATATTAATGCTGTAAATCCTTTGACACTCTGCTAACCGTGCTACTTATTCAGCGTCCAGGACGAAAGGCTGGAATCCCCGAATTTGACTTGGAAGAGAGTACAGCGGTCGTCGATATGCTGCGGTCCATGCCTTCTTTCAAACCGGAAGCGCAACTGACCGCACAGGATGTATTAAAGTGTAACTGGATGGTGAGATGGTCGCTACAGGAGTATCCGAAGATGTGCTTTGCACATAACTCTTCAAACTGCTAAAGTAGTATACTTTGGGAGTGGTCTTTTCAAAGTCGAGACACAGCTCAACTATAATGTGTCCTTCTGCATCAAGGTGAGATATGTAACTGTGATATACAGTGTTAGACGTCGGGTTGATGGAGCGAAGCAGGCCGTAAATTTATCGGGAGGCTCGATGGGGAAATACTTTGAAGATCCCTAATCAGGGTCTGAGGCTGAAGTGGGGGGCGAAACAATTCAGCCTCGCTGCCAAGAATGGCTCAAGTTTTGGTTCCATCTGATTGGGAGTATGAAAGATGATGGCCCCTTAGAAGATCGTCGGCCCCGGTGATTACGTTGCGGGCGGGGGTTGTTCTGCTCTCCAGAACTGTTTTTTGACATCTTATTCATGCTCTCTCTTATGTATGCCACTTGTGGTGCAACAGTAAGTACGCCAGTGGGCGAAGTTTGATACCCCCGTTCCTTTTCTCCACGGCGCCTGTGCCAACCCTGAAGGCTTATCAAATCACGAATCCTGTAAATACCTCAGGCAACACATATCGCTACGGCTGTGAGAGAGAGACAGCACTTTCACCCTCATTAGCCTCAACGTCCACTGTCATTTCAACCACCACCGCCACCGCGAGAACCAAACCCAACGACGGATGACTTTCGAAGAATATCACAATCAGAGTCAGAATCGGAGTTTCATTGGGCTTCCTAGCAATAGCAACGATGGGATTTGACCTCTGGTGGGGAAGACGTCATGCAAGGGGGAAGGGTAGTAGTTCGGGGGCATCCCAACAAATTGAAACACAAACATTAACCGAACCGCACGCTGGCAGTCTAGCACGTCCCTCGTCAGAAATTGCTTCCGACAGGGTCCAATATGGCCTCACGAAACCTGCCAAGACTGACAAAGAAAAAACGGGGCATGATTGGAAGGAATCTTGGAAGTGGGAAGCTGCGGCTGCTACTCTAAGTGTGATCGGGCTTGGCCTTCTGATAGGATTTCTCTTCAAAGTTCACGACACTCCATATGCGGATTGGCAATATACGGCTTCACCTAATACGGTCGTATCTATTATTGTCACTATTTCCAAGGCAGCACTCCTTGTCCCGGTATCAGGATGTCTTAGCCAGCTGAAATGGAATCGGTATCGCGATTCCGTGCCACTGTATGATATGCAAGCCATTGACCAGGCGAGTCGGGGGCCCTGGGGCGCGTTGGAGCTTCTCTGGATAGGTATCCCACGACTCAGAATGGATGCTCTAACCCTCGTCGGGGCATTCATGACCGTGCTAGCAGTTGCAATAGATCCATTCTCGCAGCAGATCTTGGCATTCCCATCGCATAAAGTTCACGTATTTAACGAAAGCGCGTTAATTCAAGCTGCGCATAGATACGTGTATCAGCAGAAACTCTACATCAACCACGAACATTCCGGCTCACTAGCCCCGTCGATGTTGAGTTCGATGATCAGTGGATTAGCACAAACGAACAGCCCTCTTGCGCCACAGTGCAGCTCAGGGATATGCAAGTTCCCAGAGTTTATCACTATTGGAGTCTGTAGCTACTGTGAGGATATCACTAGCAAAGTGAATCAGATCTGTCATCAATCGGAATTTCTGCAAGATGGTGAGGAAAGTGCAGTACAGCAACCCCATGTGAGTTGCATATACAAACCTCCAAGTGGACTAGAAATCGCTACGGACGCGACTGGTCTCACCAAGGAACAAGACTCCAATGAAGTCTCGTTGAATCACTGGGGCACCTACCCACAAAGCCGCACCTCGATGACCGGGGTTCAAAAGCCCATCTTTTCTTTCGTTGCGGCCAACCAGTCCACTCGGGTCTGGTATGTTCCCGAAAACGTGACTCTACCTCCACCGAAGCCGTTGTTCACCGATTGTGTGTTTTATTACTGCGAAAGGAAATACGCGTCCAGTCATTACTTGGCTAATGATCGTGCCAGCCACTCTGCCAATGTGACTCAGACACAACCACTCCTTCCCAGTGACGATACCACTCTATATAGATCAGATTATGTTTATATTCTCCAACCGCCGGATGGCCAAACAGCGTTGTCTGGCCGTTCACCATATATGATTGATGCATATACCTTTCTGTCTATCCCAAGTGTGATGAGGAAGCTCTTCAACACAACCACTGGCAGCGGCGCTTACTGGGATGACTTCGACAATGAATCGACAGGGCTAAATCTGGAGCCCATTCTGCGCGAGGCTGATCTGAGGGAGCTCTTACAATCAATGTCCACTAGTATGACAGATGTTTTAAGGGCAAACCCTGAAGCCGAAAAGGTTCCAGGACGGGCCTTTCGAGTTGAGACTTATATCCACGTCCGGTGGCCGTGGATCGTTCTTCTGGTATGCGCCGTCTTGGGATCCCTCGTCCTACTTTTAAGGACTGCCACCGTGAGCAAACGACAACACGCGAAAGTTTGGAAGGCTTCGATTATTCCATTGCTGACGAGCCGATTGGATCTTCAGCCTGAAAATGAAATTGCGGCGCTGGAAAGTCTAGACGACATACATCATATGTCCAAGAAGACTAATGTTATGATCAATCCGGATGAGCGGCAGTTAGTGCTTACTGAGCAATAAAAACGCATTACTGATCCAAGAGTATACTACGTAGTTATATATTTTCCTGTTGCAGCTGCATGTCTCGTCGTCGGGTTTCATGCCTAGTTTGAGGCATATGGTTGGCCCCTGCCACACAGAGCTCTCTACTTTTTTTAAGCCCCCATTAAAATGGAAGCACTTATTCTTTATTGAGATTCTACACTGTGGGAATATATTAGAGTGTAAGTCGAGAACATATAAGTTATCCAAGTTCAGCATGGGCACATCATGCGTGGTTATCGGAAAACTCTATATATCCACCAATTATATATATATTTAGAACGAAACGCATCCTATTTCTAACCTAGATCTATACAACTATAGTAAAATGCCTAGAAAAGTCTAGATTTTTCTCACTTAGTAACTTACGTACCGCTCTCGATCTTATGCCGTGGAGGATTGGCTGTTCTGCATCCGTCAGGGGTTCGATATAGGGTTAAAGAGTCATGTTGGTTGGACTAAGTATAACGAGATACCATACCGTAGCATATTGCATTCGGGCTCCAATTAGGCCTAAAATGCCTCGAGAAGTGGTCACAGTGAATCTCTAGGCCTCCCACACCTTTTGGTCTAAAGACCGAGGTATCTTTCTAGCTCGGTTTTCTTCCCCCGGCACATCCTCTCTGGACGCATACTCCCGAGATATGAGTGGGATCTCTACCGTAGGTACGGTAAATATTTGGTAAATAGTAGGCGGTGCCGCAAGACCGTATATGAAACCGAATGGAATTGGGGAGGCGTCAAGGTGGACAGTGGGTGAAAGTTGGATTTAGCGAGCTTGCCAGTCGCACAGATGAATTTACGTGGGCAGGGACATGCTGTCATTTATTGGTCAGTGATGGGGAGAACCGAGGAGTGAGCCGCAGGCCTGTGTTCCTGCTCGCTCGGATAACGTTCCTACTTCGGGAAAACTGATGAAGGGCTCCAAGAATCGTCTCAGGGTCCAAGGGATGGTGGGCGGGAGATTAGCGCAGAAAGGTCACTTATACTGGAGGATTGCTGCTAGTGAAATATCTAAGTATATGAACTACTTATCCGCCGGATTTCGAGTCGCCTATATGATTACATTGCATGTTTATTCATTGACTTCTCGGCGTGGTTAGGGGAACTATAAAAGTAACGACTTAACTCACTTGTCCTGGATGTGTCTAGTTATTCATATTTATTTGGGTGTGTTCTCCAGGTAAGAATTAATGTCACATATTGCCCTACTAAACCGGATATGGTTGGCTGAGAGGACCCATTCTAGCTCTCCGATATGCATGCCTAGGGAACCTTTTGTACAGACTGTAGAGACGATGGACTCAGTATCCGGGTTACAGATCCAATCAGATAAGAACAAAAGCCGGCCGCGAGGCTGTGTATCCACTGTCTGGAGTCTAGGGCGTCGAGGCTGAAATATGGATATTGAACTCCCCAACAATCCAAGGGTTCAGCATCATCGAGAGCCTTCTCAGTACCTAGCGTCATCAATGCTGCTAGTAGAATATATGATGTTTGATATGGAGGAAGCCATCGCTAAACTTTGGTAGCTTCGGAAACCGAGATCATGGAGCAAATCTCCGCTGATTACTTTGATTCTATTGGTACTAATAATTTTGAGGCATAAGTACAGTACCAAGAAAAGATACACTCAGTTGAATAACCCCTAGCTAAAATAAAAGTTTAATGCCATTTCCTTGCGAATCTTCTCGCCAGCCTCGATGACCTCCTCAGCATCGTGGCGAACACTCCTCCATTTCTCTCTCAGCAAAGAGTACACATGGTTCAGGTTGGATATGTCCAGCCTGACTGTGTCATTCCCATCTTCCGGGGTTGTCTGCGTTACACTGAACTGCAGTTGACGGATATCTGGACAAGGTCTTAATATACTTTCCAACGCAGCATTTCCTGTGGGCCATACGTACCTGGTTTAAAGACTTTCTGATCAACGTCGTAATGGTAATAGATGTAAGTGAACAAATACTTGTTGTCAGCATCAGGCTGAGACGCAATTAGATCGGTAATGATGTTCAGGATGACCGAAAACTGAGCGGGCAGCAACTCCTGACCATAGAAATCTTTGAGCACATTTCGGATCTTTCCATTCACTTCGGCGACGTTTATGTCCTCCGAGAAGGGTCCGCTGTGGCTGTCTGCATTTTTAACGAGCCTTATGAAAATGATTCGTTATTGGAGCCCTGACCTCGAAGTCACCAATCGAGACGATTCTTTGAGCACTTACCAAGTAGTTTCGCTTGACTCCCTAAGATAATCAACTACCTTGGCTCGATAGTTAGTCCGTTTCACTCGGGAGGCCGTAGAATCATCACTGGGAAGTGATTTGTCCGCAATCCTGTGCTTAACCTGAACTTCTGTCTGACCGAGCTCCCATGCATTCCAAGACTGGATCTCGTCTTGTAGAGCTTGGATGTCAGGCTTTCTGTCATCTGGGAGGAAAGGAACAAAGTAAAAGAAAAGAAGGTTTGGGGTTCCATAGTCATTTGTAACGTCGACCGCTGGATCCTTGAGGATGCTTGTATGTTGTTTGTTTGACAACAGGGAAGGATCAACAGAAGGTAAATGAATGTATGGGGACATTGTGGAGGTTTGTGTTAAAGTAATATAAAGTGAGGACAGAGCTATGCGTTCGAGGCCTTGGTATTCAGCAGGATTGATAGGGTTAAATACTCCAATTCAAGCACTTATCACCGGGCCGATCGGAGGAAGGGAGGCATCTCTTATCCCCGTGATTAGAGTAAAGATTACGTGTTCTAGCTTCACTTTACCATTGTGTGGTATTTGTCCGATGGTTACTGCATCGCTATACGGAGCTCAGCTAAACCCTTGACGTATCCACTGTGCAGTGACGGGGCTTTTCCTTGAAATATTCCTGGTCCTGTGACGAAACACAAGGTGCTGTCCAAGACTGAACCCTATACGAAGGTGCCAGCTATCCAATCTATGTTCATGCTGGAGTCTTGACTAGTGCAAGGTGAGTAGCCCGTCCCAGCTATTAGTTCCTCCTGAGGTGGCAGGGCCATATAATGACGTACTGTACTGCAATGTCGGAACCGTCGTATGTTCAATGCTGCAAGCTCAGCTGAATAGATTAATCTAGGCAATCCTCCATGATGCGTCTTGGTCTGCAAGGGTTGGAAGAAAAGGGCATCTAACTGGGTACCCCGCGCACAGCGCGCTGGAAACATGCATGATGAAGTTTGAGATGTAATGGCACGAAGGAAGAAAGCTTGCTAGGCACCCAGTATTGGGCATCCGAAATGCCACACTGTTCTATTGCCTAACCTAGGAATGCAACGTACGATTGAATATCTTCCCTGGCGGGATTTGTATGCGGCGAGGTGTGGAGATACCTCCCATGCTTGGCAGACTTCACAGTTGCATCAATGGTACAGGGCTTTGTGGGAAATCTACTACATGCTATAGCAGGACCAGCTTTCGTGCGCATTGTCCACCCCTCTGGGGATCATTGGATTATGATCAAATACAGGGAGCGATTTGGCTTAGACGATATGCCGGCACTCTCTTCGTATATATTCCCAACAGAAATCACAAACACCACTACTATTCCGCCGTGAGACCCTATAATATGACTGGAGACATCATTTTATACGCAATGACCTGGGTCTAGGAAGGGTGGTAAATTGAATCATGGTAATTCAAAATTTGAACATTCGGTTTACGTTCGCCGCCCATGACCAGGGCGAATAGCAACTAGTAATACCAGGTCAAGCCGACGGTTCCCCATATTGGTCGGGTAATTGAACCGAGCAATCACCTCGCATCGCTCTATATGCATAACTCTGTGCAACCTAGACTCATCCTAGCAAGGCTTACACACCAACGGTCATTTCCGGGCTAATATACAGGTTCACGAGCAATGAGTGAAAGGGAGATCAGCTCTTCCGGTAGCCTGCATTTCTGTAAGCACATCAGCAAAAGTACACACGCATTGTTTTGCCGAGCAGAATACTGTCTCATTGGCGATTAATACATAAAGGTTGTACCCCACATAGTTCAGCTGAGCATCTTTCAGCCGGCCGCCAACGCCCACAAACAGGGGTGGTTTGTCCGGATGTTCCGGTATCACACTAAGCCAATGAAGCAGCGGCTGCCCGCTTGGATCCCTGTCTGTTGCATGCATAGAATACACGTTATTTATGCGGAAAACCGGTAAATGAGTGAGTACCAGCCAGTGTGATCCTATCTTTGATAATAATAGCACGCAGATATTCATTGCACGGCCGTGCATGTCTTGACAGGATACATAGACAGACACTTACGTGGCTTGCGTCTGGCTTCGTCCGGATGGCAAATGTTGTCACATATTTGCTGGGTGGCAAAGTATTGAATAGTGTGGGTTAGCCATTCCGCCTGTTATTCAACTGTACAATGATGTAGCATGGCTACTTGAACCGTACAATAAAAGCGTCCGAGACGAAGTATAAAGAGAGGCCATTCGAATCCTCCATGCCTTTCAATCAAATCAGAAACACACAAATTATCTCTTCCTTGAATAGATCATCTCATATTTGACAATTCAAAGCTTCCTTTCAATCGCTACAATGACTGCCTTCAAAAGTCAAAAGTTCTCCGCACTAGGAGAAATCCCCATTATTCTCCCCCCGCCGGGCAGCGGCTACAAGGATGAAGACAAGCCGAGCGATGCTGACATGGGAAAAGATGACCCAAACACCCGGAGCTACATCAATGTCAATGCGAACAAGATCCCTTCGAGGTTTCATGACCGTGTCTTGAAGCTCGAAGAAGCGATGAATCTAATGCAATCGTGGCTTGACACCCACGCTGGTATTCAGGTGAAACACCGAAAGGCCGATGGGACTCTGCCAAGTGATTCCAGTCCAGAATCAGGGCTAAAACGCTCTGACTACCGTAATAAGGTGGTCGACACCATTCTTAGCGAAGACTGTGCTTGGTAGGTCGATCATCGCTCCTGACCCACTGGTAAGGCCTGGTTTGACTTTAGATCGTTGTAATAGGGTTATGCACAATAATGAAGTCTATTCCGAGAACCACATTGACACTTCAAAGACTGAGTTCCACCTCAGCATGATCTCGGACATGCTTGTCGGTCTTCTTGATGGGATTACTGGCATCTCGAAGACCATCGAAGATGTGTTTTCTGGCCTTGCTAATCTGATCGTCGAGAACAAGAACCAGGTGCAGTCTCGCACTGTCTGGTCACTCTTTCACGTGTTCCTCTATGATGAGACCACAGATGACGTTCGGACATGTAGGTGACTTGCCTGTCCTCTGCCTTCCCAATTGATGAAGAGATGATGTCGCTAATAGTCTAATGCAGACTTCCGGATTATCAACTACTCGATCACTGCCGAGATGGTTGAGTATGTTTCCAACAAGACGACCCATCAAGAGGTCAAGATGGGCTTTAATTTCCACTTGACTGATCTTAGTCTGAACGAAAATGAGTGGGACAGAATCAAGGATGATGTTCAAAGGTTTATCGATGATACCGCTGCCAACCAGGTTGATCATCCGATTGACGGTGAAATCAGTGTTTAAGCCCGGTTGGCCGTCGTGGCTCGTCGCGGCATTAGATCTTAAACTATTGTCCGTTGAAGATTATCGGAGGATTCGCGTTATGTGGATATCTAACTCGGGTCTGCTGGCACTAGTCTAACTACGCATCCACTCGTTAGTATCCATAAAGATCTAGTTTTCTTGTACCATGTCTCAGCTTGATAAATATATCCTACTATGTAAGCTTTCCCAAAGCCAGCGGTGAAGTGTAAAATCAGTGGGTAAAGGCAATGTTGCTCTAGGTGAGACGTAGCAGTACGCAGGATTCTACTGTCAAGGATTTCTTACCTCCCACATTGATGGCTTCCAGATTCTACCAATGGTATGTAAGCATTAGATAAACTAGATTGATCCAGTTGGCCTAACTGGGAAGTGGTGGTCACGCTCTAATACAAGAATAAGTAATCTGCGTTCCTCTCAGCATGATCACCCAACGATCCACAACGAAACCCTCAGTCGGCTAGCTGGTGGGGACACTCAACTCTATGTCCACAATCATTGTGCTGCACCGTCAAACCAGGCTAACATAGCCGAGTGTTGTCTAGGATCAATAGAAACCTGGTCATTGCGCCTGCGCGGATTTTCGATAGATATTGCCATTGCAGCGAGCCATCCCGCTTTCAGGGAGCTGGGCGGGTATGTAGTACGGCCAACATGGCCAGTCACAGATTGCTTTTTTATCTTCTTCACATTGTACAGCCAGTACAAATTATTGTCGTATCCCGTATTATTCATTCACTTAGCGTGTGATGCGGACCAACAACGTCTTCCTGGCCACAGGGTGTGCTCATGGTGTGCATATCAACAACTTGAAGTACATCCTACTGCAACAAATGTTTTCGTAGCCAGTGAGCCACACCTCAGATTGATCAGAGGCCGTCGTGAGATACTATCAGGGGACCGCTGTTAAAGGCTTTATAAAGCAATGTTGATATTCTACGATTTACAAAGAATTAGATGATCATTTACGACAACTTGAGCTAGTATAGCCCTACAGCAAATGTTAACTCTATGTTGATTCCGTTCCTAGGCCACCTCACACGGCTGAGGCGGTTCCCGTGCGTGATATATAAGGTTGCACCACAAGTCGGGCAATTTAGATTAAGATCTTTTGATCTAGCTGGGCCTACAGACAACAAAGGGCTTCGAATATGGGGCCCTGCAACTGGTAACGACCCCTATGTTTGACTAATGATCTCCTAGGCCACAACGCAGGGCCCGGGGGTGGGATATACTCCCGGTAGTGTATGACTGAGCATAGGCCACAGTGGATGTGATTGGGTAGATCTCGGCTCAGTCTTGTGAGGAAAGTGGATCGGAATTCATTATCCAATGGAAGCTGAGGCCCTTTTCCTAGCGCGCTTGGTAGTAGGTGACTACAGAGGGCCAAGCATATTCTGTCGCATGGGGTAAGATACTGTACGATCATTGACACCAGCTCTGTTGGCAGGTGATCAATTTTTATGCCCCTGTAGCTCTTCGTCTCCAACTGCGCAGGCCAGGGATGCCAACCGGATGGCGACCAAGTAAAAAGACCACTGACGATACCCATATTGCTGGAATCCTTGTGGGCGCGAGCTCAGAAAGTGAGAGATAACAGGAGAATATCATAAACGTGTATCGAAATCATCTACCGCACATTACAGACGTTATCGTCATTCGGGTACGATGGGATGGCCTTTACGGCAATACGCATGACAATGACTCATGCCCGAAAGAAGAGGAAAAATGAGTACCTCAGGCCATATGTCCCATTGTTGCAGAAATTAGATCTGATGGGTCTCAGATATGTAGGTGTGGCAGTTTGAGGAGTTCAACTTGGTGGCTAATCTCAAGAACTACAGCCGTATTGGACAGCACCTGTACGAGCAATGCAATACCCCGGACTGCTATGATCTGTTCTCCCAAAACAATCCGACCACCTACCGCTTTTCCTTAATGGGAAAGGCTTGCGTTGCCCCAACACGTCCCGTTTGCCCCATAGTATGATGGCTCACTAAATGAGGCACTTCACCAATCAGTATCACTTGCCTACTTATCACATTGCTTTTGACTTTCTGGCCAGCGCCCGGAAAGCCCCATCGAAGGACGGATTGTTGGTCTTTTGGTGGGTTTCAAGGGCTCAGGGGGTTACTAGTTTACCTTACCATAGGAATGAAGACCACCCAATACAGCCCGTCAGACTTGTAGCCCAAATGGACCCCTGGTGGTATCGAGTGAATGCTATTCATACTGCTCAGCTGCTGCTCAGTCTAGGTAACTCGGTGTCTTTTCTGTTTAAACGCAGTCGGGATGTATTGGACTCTACTTATTATATCCTCATACCTATCAGCTCTCTCAGCTGGTGGATTACCCATGGCTAATTCAGAAGCAAAGCCTCAAAACACTGTTGTACCTGGTTCAAGCGTCGATCCAAAGGCTGAAACGTCGAAATTACATCTTTATTGTCAAGACTTTGTCATGTTGAATCCTCCTGATTGGGAAGCGTCTATGTCATACCCAGAGCCACAATCCAATTCACGGCCAGGTTCACCAGGTCCAGGGGGTCATGTACGTCGCGCAGATGCACCACCCCCGGTATTTTTAATGGGACGTTGTAAAATGCCAAACGGCAGAGATCGCCTCGTATCACTCAACCTGAACAAATGCCTTGGTTGGGATGATAATCGGAAAGCTTTCACTGCAGAATATGAGTATGTATCGCCCCTCCAACTGTCATAGGCTATGGCTATTATTTTTCCCATAATGTTATACCCAACGACTAACAGCGCCAGCGCACACGGAATCGCTAGAGGTCATTGCTGGGATTGTGGGTACAAAGAATATTTCAGTCCTACTTCTAAGTTTTCAATGGGATGCAAGTGTAGCATGAATACACGGTATCGGACACGGTGGGAGGTCAAGGAGTTTACTCAACGTAAGTATTCGACATGTAACAAGTCAGTAATTTGCTAATCGGTTTTGTAGCTGGAGTGATAGTGTATGACGAGAGAACAGGTCACATGGGCTGTCATGGATATTGGGGAAGTCTCCTGGGACCTTGGACAGATGACTAGGTTGCTTCTCTGGCTTCCATGATAGGCGTAAGGTTGATTGGTGTTATCATATCTGCGAGGGAGAGAGATTGGTGCGCAGTGGACGCTAATATGGGCATAGATGCTTCTCTCCATTATGATAATCATATTGTGTCTGTTCCTCCCAGTTAAGCCTGGTCGACTTTAGATGTGATGTATTGGTGACTCATTCCGAGTCTATCCACCGTGGGCACTGCCTGTGTTCGACAAAAGTGCTTGACACATAACATTTCAAAGCTGCATATGATAGCAATCCTATGGATATCCCACAAAGTATGCGTGTAGATGTCATAGAGACCCGATATGGCAGAGAAACACCTCTCAATCCTTGGTGGACTGAATTTCTTAGCTGCCCAATCACCCATCAAATTACCGTCTTTTGAGCCCTCAAGAGATCATAAACTCGTTCGAAATGAGCATAAACAACTGTATGAGACAAGCCACCTAGGAGGCTAAATATCTCGCCCATTCTGTGCCCATCTGCCGCAAGGGGCAGGGCACGAGGGACAGTCCTCACCGTAGTATACCAACTACCGGTCCTCAACTCAGGACTCGAGAACCTATATTAATCTCTACATGAGGCCTATATGTAAAGCTAGTTTCGTCTGATAGGTAAGCAATAATTAACCGTCACAGTACCTATCCGCCAAGCTACCCTACCGTGTTCAATAGTATTGAAATATATGCGTGTATCACTATTCGGTGTGCAACCTCTGTAAAATATGTGATTATTTAACTTCATTCTAACCGCCGCAATGTTAAAAATTATATATATCTGCAAGACTCTTGCTGGTTTGTGTGAGATAGGGCATTTCTTCGTCTCGCTCTCTGACATCGTTTAACCGGCGCTAGTGATTAATATATGGACGGGCTTTGACAGGCTGCTAACACCATAAACTAATTCCAACCCCGGCTCGCCTAGCGGCTCAGCGTAGACGGCCGTTATGTATTCTGTTTTATTTTGATTTCAATTTTTCGTTATTTTTCTGTGGTTACCCCACTGCTATCCCGATCCCTGCTTATGGGTCTTTTCACCTTCCCCGGGTGCGAGCCGTTGAACTTAACCCGCCCTAGTCTGCTTCTCTCTTTTCCTTTTGTCATTATCAAATCGTCTTGTATGCTCAATCCGATTTCTGTACACCACGTACAGCCGCCATGGCGCCATCTGTTTTCGATCTTGCTAGCACGTACGGGGCCCAACTGGCCCTGGTGTTGTTCCTAATGATTGTCCTGCGATTCTTTCACGAGATGTTGAAAGTACGCCTGCTCTTCTACCGACTGCGCAAGCTGGGCCTAGTATGTTAAATTCATGAACTTTCATTGTGACAAATGTCTTTGCTGATACCGACGGCCGCAGCCAATGCCCAAGTGGGATTTCGGAGCAGGTAATCTGCGGATGCTCCCAGACCTAATGAAGCGGCACCCCAAAGGATCCCAACAGTCAGAGGCTTTTACTCTCCTGTCCTACGAGTTTTCTAGCTTTGACAATTGCTTCTACATTGATGTGTGGCCATTCACAAAGCCCCTACTGGTGGTAAATTCCCCGGAACTAGCAGTCCAGGCCTGTCAAACATATGCACTACCTAAGCCTCCCGTCCTTGCGAAGTTCTTTGACCCCTTCGCAGGGGGGCCCAGCATTTTCACAACAAACGGGCCTGCATGGAAGCGTGCTCGGGGGCTGTTCAATCCAGCCTTCAGCGCAAGTAATATTCTCCAGCATACTCCCCATATTCTGGAGGAAGCCCAAGAGTATGTAGCAGTTCTCCGCGAGCATGCGCGCAAGGGCGATACCTTTACATTGGATAAAATGACCTGTGACTATGTCCTGGATATTATCGGACATGTGGCCATGTGAGTAACGTTTGTAATTAAGGACGTGAAGAGGCACACTAACACGAGGAACGGTAGGAAAGCACGCCTTCACTCTCAGCGCGGACGTAATCCAGTGGCGGCTGCATTGAGGAGCCAAGTCGAGTGGCATTGTCAAGATGAGGAGATGAATCCCTTCATCCGATGGAATCCCATGCGACCGATAATGCAATGGCACAACGGACGTACGATGAGCCGTTACATTGGGCTCGAATTAGATAAACGGTACGAGGACTGGAGGCAGCAAAAGCCATCAGCACGGGCAAATTCAATTATCGATATTGTGCTCGCTGAATACATGAGTACGCGGCCGGCAGGGACAACACTAGATCCTGAGTTTAAAGCATGGGCCACTATCCAACTCCGAACCTTCTTGTTCGCAGGACACGACTCAACTGCAGCGACGACTGTTTACAGCCTCTATCTATTGTCCAAGCATCCGAACATCCTTTCCAAGGTTCGCCGTGAGCATGATGCGGTATTTGGGTCAGATATTTCGGCTGCAACTGGCATCCTCAAACAGCACCCCGAGTTAATTAATCGGCTCCCGTATACTCTGGCGGTTATAAAGGAGACCCTCCGTTTATTTCCCGCTGCCTCTGCGTTGCGAGAGGGCCAGCCTGGTGTCTACCTGCAGGACAAGCATGGCACTAAGTACCCGACCGAGGGATTGTGTATCTGGGTGATACATGGGGGCATTCAACGTAACCCTAATTATTGGCCAGAGCCACATGCTTTCAAACCAGACCGTTGGCTGGTTGGACCAGACCATCCCTTATATCCTCCCAAAGGCGCTTGGCGTCCTTTCGAGCAGGGTCCTCGAGATTGCATCGGCCAAGCGCTGGCCCTCCTGGATATCAAGATCACACTGGTGCTTACTCTCCGCGAGTTCGACTTCCAGGACCAGTACGCGGAATGGGACCGTCAGCATCCCCGGTCCGGGCCGAAGACTGTCTTCGGCGAGCGTGCCTACCAGATTCCCCAGGGTGGGTCGCATCCTGTTGACGGGCTTCCGTGCCGGGTCAGCTTGCGGAATCCAGTAACGAAATAAGGGGCCTTGGGGAGAACCATGTTACTGTAGCTATGTCTTGGGTCGGCACCGAGCATGTTTGTAACCGTTAGACGTTATATTGCAAGTAATTCATGTATGTACATAAGGAGAACACAAACTGGAACAGACTCGGAGGCGTGTCTTGACAGCCCTGTCGCGCGTTGTTTTCATTCTTCCCGGTTGGACCCACCAGCCCTAAGTTGAAAATCCCTGTCCGCTACTCCGTAGACACCCTTCCTCCCATTTGCGCCAATTAAGGCAGTCTAATATACCCGAACCCTGCTTTTTGGATCCCCCTAACGCACTCTCCCCTAGCACTGATTCGTGGTTAGTCGTCGAACCACATGGCACGGTGTCATTGCTCGGGTGAACTTCCGATAGCTAGCGCCATGGCGCCTCCCCCATTGTCTGTCTCCGAGTCGCACTACTAAATATTTGAGGCTGTGTAATTATACGCTATTAGATAAAAGAAATATCACCAAGCATATGGGATCTTCCCAGGCCACGAATGGCGGTCGTAATTTGCCAACAATTCGTAAATCATCACCCATGTGACCCTGCTAGGGCCGGTTATGTTGGTTTAAATTATTACTTCCCCAGTCATATACTTGGCCCTGATATTGGAGACCGGTGCCGTTGCCTCGTGTAACCGAAATAACGGTGCGGAGAGCCTAGGCCCAACCTTGGTAGTCTAGGTTATTCTTCCCTTGCTGTTATCCGTTTCCTTATCTAAGTCAGTACACACCGTCACTGTGCGGCGAATAAACCCCTTCACATTGTATCGTGCGTTAATAGAATTTCCCGCGCACAGTACATGTCTGCCTCTGTGAGCGCTATTGTGGGTTGATATGAGTTGAACTCACAAACCGCGATCGCGGAATGCCTGTTCTACTCCGTAACGGACACCAACCTAGCGTTGGAAGAATGGGTGTCAGTCTTGAGTTGGCTATAGGAGATAGCTCTGTACCGCTCGCATCCCTTAAGGACTATGTATACTATGTATCATGGCTAATGGATGACCCTTAGTGCGCACATAGGTTAGATTTGGAAGGCTTCATCGAGCGTGTACCTCACATGGATCTGTCTAAGGCTTTCACCAAGGTCACCGAACATCCGGCAGATTACGCTGTTGTTGACGTAGATACTCGCTGGACGGAAGGATCCAGGACTGCACATTCCAGAGCCACATTTGTGTTTATGTCGCCTATCTGAAGCATCCGACCCCAGTGGCCATCTGAGAGAGGTTCACTAGGTTTGGGGAAATTTCTGATCATTCGGGTGGGGCTAGGGTATCATTACCCGCGATTATCATTTGCTACTTGAAATTCATTGAAGCAGGGAAAGAACAATAATGGCTCAGAGGGACATCTCGGGGGCGCAACAGTACTGTAGGGCTTCTCTGCGATGGAGTGAGCAGCCTGAGTACCCTAATGGAGCTTGCAGGGGGCCGGTGGGGGAGGGAAAGAACAGGAATTATTCAAGTCATGATCGCGAAACTCCAGTCATCGTTATTCTATTTTGGTGGTAGGTACTACTCGCGTGGACCAATTGACCTGTTCTTCGGGCACGAAATGCTCGTCAGATTTTAGCGCGCCGTTAGCAGCACAATGGAGTGGTAAACGTCCCTCGCTAGCATAGCGCGATACCATTGACATACCATGATTACCTGGACGATCAAACAGCGCTGGGCTGCCCTCTGCTTTCCAGAACCTGCTATCAATATGAACCTTGGTCGTATCCTAAATGAGGTTCCTTTCTTCAAGCATTTCCGGATATTCTTCCCTTCCATGTTCACTAGCCCTGCATCTATGAGGAGTTTCACTAATCCATACCTAGTCCTCGAGATTGCCGGACGGAGCACGGCGTGGTCCAGCTCTGGAATTAGGCTGAAGTTCTCCTTGCGTACGACCTGATTCCAGGAGCAGGCATCAACGGTTTCTGGCCGCAACCATTCTTCTCATGTCGGGCCGCAGAGCGGTTCTTTATCCAACATCTAGACACCAACGGCAGCCCTAAGGCCTTTGGAGAAGTATCGCATTAATGAAGCCACACCGTCGCGCTCAATCACTGCGCAAGCAGTCTAATAAAGTCAGTCTTATAAAAGATAAAACCGTCCATATCGATGGGTGGGCTGTTATATGCTGCCCGTCTGTGAGAGTAGTATTCGTGGAAGTGGGTATATGCCATTTGGTATCAGTATCACAGTCCCATCTTATGTATCATTCTGGAGCAGTGACAGTTGGGCATTGAGATGGAGAATAGTTGACCATGAATGGAGAAAAAGGAACATAGCAGAAAGGAATGGGACGCAGCTTAGCATCGTTCTGGTATACTTCATTGAGGCGGGGTTAAACCTACCTGTAAGTACTACAGGAGTTCAATGTCCCCAGGCTTCAACGAAGATATTAAGCTTCTCTCTATCTTCACAGTGGATATTGCGACAAGGACGCGCTTCCATTAGATGAAGATGCTCAGAGTGAAGGTCCATCAAACCGCAGATAACGTATATAAATTGAGAGTCAGTGTGGTGCCTTCCCATGCGCTGGTACCTATACCACCGAAACAATCGTATCCCAATTCGTTTCACACCCATCGCATTCATTATAGCGCTCGCAACCTTGATGTACATCAAGATCAGTTCTCGACACTGCAGTCATGTTCATCTTCACGCTTTACTACAGCTGTCTTGCGTAAATTGATCTATCAGATAGCTACAGCTCCATGGATCTCGACACCATCGCACCCCGCCTCGATCATACTCTAACGTCTTACAATCTCATATACTATTTTGTCTTTAGTCTATAATATACTCAAGTATCAATTGAATGATTCTTATTAACATTAGCTCCTTACCACCCTTACAGAACTGGTAACTAGAGGGAATACCGCCTCGTTGTGCTATTACATTCTGTCAACACCTTGGGGACTATTATTTTTAGCAAGCTTTTCCGGGTTCCAAGGACTAAAGGGCCTTGAAGCAATCTACTTATACCTGGCATAGGATACGATCTATACATGGGAAAACCCCATGAGATACAAAGAAGAATAGGTTCATTGTTCCTAGGATTGTACAGGAGGACCTTGTGAGGCTGTACGTAGATATAAGTTTGACTCAAGACGTTATAATTATTAGGCCACGCAACTACTGCAGTGGTAGCTTTCACTCACGGTGCGCACTTGGTGGGGTCTGACGATTGTTCGATAGAATAACAACTGTGCTCAGAAGACGGACCGTCTAAGAATTGATAGGCCACTTCATGCAGCCACGATGGTTGTTTGAGAATCCTTGCTCTAGGCCTGGCAGATAGGCACCAAGCACGGCTACGTGTGTCACTTTCCGAACACGAGCAGAATTTCCGCAGCCGCGGTTCCTCGGGTCAGCATTAGCCCTACTGGTGGTATTGTTTCCAACGTGGAAGTGATCCCATGCATTTCCCGATGATACCAGTGTTAGCGGCGTTGAGGATCTCGGGAATTTAAAGTTCGATGCTCCCGACAAGCCTGATCGGTTGGAACTGCAAGGGAATATCGTAAAAGTCGTCTGGGGTCTAGGCTCAAGGGCTCCAGGAGGCCGCCCAAGACAACTGCCTAATTAGTGTTAGGGCTTATATGCGTGCTTGCATAAATTTGGTTCTTTTTTTATTACGCGGCAGAATTTACACTCACCATATCATTATTTCTGACCTTCTATACTAAAAAGCCTAATTTTTATATCCTATCTTGACTATAAAAGAAATATTATAACTTATCAATTCTCTAGCCTATTAAGTCACGTTATCAAAACAGAAAAATAAGGAGCACTGAGTAATTACTCCAGAGTCCTACCTTGCTGACCGTACTGGGCCTCGCTCATCCCAGGATTCCCACTTATAGGTCTTCCTCTCCTGCCTCGGCATCAAAAACTCGGCTCTCTGATCTGCGGGGTTGTCCGAGCTGTACCACTCGAGACGGCAACTCCGTAGTGCGTAGCATTTGGGCCGCTGAATCGTGATCAAGCAATAGATCAATATCATGATGTTCACGGCTCACTCCAGAATAGGTGGTCTAGGGTACCTAGCGCCTTCGCGGAACTGCAGTTACGTAGGCACCCATATAGTACAGAGGACCAACCAAATCGACCAGATCAACCACTTCTTCGCCTCTAACATTCTGACAAAATATAAGATACAGAAGGCCTGGAAATCAAAACAGAATTCTTGCGTCTATAGCCCAAAGGGACATAGAATGGCTTCTGTCTTGAAAGTACATATGATATATCTCTAGTAGCCTCTCCACATTTGAATATGATACGGTCGTGCACGGACTAAAAACAACCTCTGGAGGAGATATTCCTCCTCCTCCTCGTCGTCCTCCAGCTCGAGTACACACTTTCTGGTCAACATATTGAACTCATTGATTAAATAGGCAATAAGTGTGGTAGCTACCATGAATTGGATGGACTCGGCACCCTTCCAGCCGTGTGTGCACTATATTCAGGCCCCAGGCCGCGCAATACAGCGATTCAAGTTAGCGAACTGCGCGTCGAGTCACGGCTGCCGACGGTCGTCGCCACCGCCACCTTAGATCAACAACAGTTGCTTCGTGGCACCCATGTGGCTGGTGCCCATGCCGTCTGCTGGCAATGACGGCCCGGCTGTTAAGGCTGTTGGGGGTCTGCCAGACATGACTATGTCGTTGTTAGTATTGCTGCCGCCGAAGAGGGACCCCAGGTTGAAGGTTTTGAGGTACTCGATGCTTGATGTTGGGCACTAAATGGGCTGACAATGCTGCAAGTATCTGGCGGCAGCCCGCCACAGCGAGTGATTGTTTCGGCCGAGGCCAAAGCCTGCGGTGTTGCTGTGATATTTTGTTGCTGTGGTGGTATCATGAAGTGTGGCCAGGCTACTCACTAGCATGTAATTGCCAAGGAGGGCTACTGGATTGTGGCTCCTGGGAGGGCGGGAGGGCGACGCCCCTGTAGTGGGCAAGTTGTCTTTGGTCTCGTTGCATGCGTTACGTGAGGATTGTAGACGGATCCTCTCTCTGTCGTATGTCATTATAAAAGTGTTTTGGTGGGCGCGCTCAGCACGGTGACGTGGGTGGAGAAAAATATTATAGTTCCCCTCCTAGTGGCAGGTTTGATACTCTGAATGCCTGCTACCGCATTACAATAATACCATACTTACGAGTCCCTCAATTGTATTCGGCTAGCCCGACAGTTAGCTAGTTCACTAATTATGCATGTCGTAAATGCAACATCGTAATCCACCGAGATGTGGATTCTCGCCGCGGCCACTACAACTACCAACACCATTAAATCCAATTAATCCCAACCATATATCTAACTATTCCAGAGCCACTGTACCGGGAAAAATCGGGTCCGGGAGACAGAGAGGTCGTTTGGTTAGGCTGCTCATTAACATGGGTACCAACCTGCTTAACGCGATTCTCACCATTATGTCTCAAAACGCCGCTCATACCCTACCATAGCATGTGCCTTGCTTTCTTCTTATATTTCTGCTTACCTCGGACCCGCAATGCCTTGATTTCCTTTTTTTGGAATACTTTTGGCATTCATCGCTAGTGTATGCACAGCTCTTGTCATGATGCCGAGGACGAGCAATTGGACTGCTACTCCCCTTGGTCACGAAAACGCAACATTCTAAAATGGCGCTAAAGTACTCGAGGTCTCTTGAGTGGTCTACTTACCCTGCACAATAATATACATTTCCTGGTACTCGGCTTTTCGCTGATGATCAGCACTAAGTATGTGTATTGCGAATACATGGCGCTAGCGACAATTCAAGACCTCTTGGCGATATAAGAGTTGCGTTTCTGTGGCTTAGCCGGGTACTAGAAAAGCTTCCCTCTTATGCCAAAACTATTCTCCGGGTTGTGGATATTCTGGTACTACTGACGAATAATTTTCTTTTACATAATGCGTATCGTTAGATTTCCTTTTTTTTTTTTACTTAACGGTTACAACCTATAGGCCCACAATTGAATTAGAGGATAGGCGCCATTGGCAAAGAAAAAAAGCGGCCGCGAGGTACTTATACGGAGTACTCAGGTCCCCACTCAAAGCTGACACTTTGAGAAAAGTACATATCCACAGATAGACCTCGCTTTCTCGGGTGCCTACGGGCTTACCCACGAACCGAGTAATGATCCATGCGTTAGTCTGTACCTATATTGCGGGACTAGCATGGTAATGCAGCCTATAACATTCAGGAAATTTTGTCAATGCACATCTTTTGTGGAGATTCAATTTTCTAGACGGGGTTCGGGGGCCGAAACCCGAGAGGTCTCTAACGGTTATATCCATGTATACCACGTTGTATGCGGCTAACCGCAGAATTGGATCGTTCCGTATAAATAAATAATACTTTCTCCTCCATTCCACTTGATGGGGTCTAACCCTGCCTAGTAGTTCCCATGGCACTCACGAGTCCGAGGTCAGATTGACTCACTCTCCCGATACGTAGCGAAGGTACGGAGTAGGGTCTAGACCATAGAGGGCAATGCCACATATATCTACTTGTGGCAAAGCATTGGCAAACAGGAATGTTACTAGCAGGGATCAATCACGCCGGTTATCAATGATGATTGGATACCAGTCCGTATTGGTGGTTCGTTATTGTCCTGCCTGTGACAAGAGGGGTATGAACAGGGTCGAGGTAAAGGACTGGGGAAGGCACAGACGCCCAGCTCGAGATTGCTTATTTATCAAGGTAGCCCACCAGTTTATCACAGGATATCGTGGCTGGCCTAAGCCTCAGAGTTCCACCGTTGAAGATCCAACTAATTGTATGAACTCCATCTTGTCCGGAGTTTAGTAATTGGTATATGCTTCCTTCCAAAACAGCACCAATAAAATGAGTATATTATCCGAGGCATGATTCAACAGGATTGACTTGCTTATAAATACCCCTGACCGGATACGAATAGGATATACAAGGCCTGATCTAGGGTTACATATTACGAGGTTTTCACCCACCTGCAGCCCTACAAACCATGTCTCTCGGGTCCTGCAGATACCTAGGTAACTAAATATCCGAGTGTTAAACGTGGAGAAGAATACACTAGACCACATAGCTTTCTATCCACTCTCCCGAGAGCAGATAAACGTAGGACGATAGAACAAGGAGGAGCAGCAATAGAAGAAGAATAACAGAGGAACAGAAAGAAACTAAAAGTCCTGGTGGTCGGTTTGAATCCCTTGACTGGAGCTTCAGCAGGTATAGGGACTTTAGGCTGCATGTAAGCAGAAGTAGGAAACAACCACTGGTTTGAACTCATCCTAAAATCTGACATTGGCACGCAACCCATCCGAGTCACCGGTATCATCGGGCAGAATCCATAGCATGGTATTAACATGCGGCTCAGGATATCTATATATGCTACTGCGGAGTATATGAAGCCTCCGGACAATGTAAAATACTATGTACCTAGTTTACTAACACTTCGAACGCACTATATATCAGTCAATTAGATTTGTTTTACTAGGTTCCATCCAGTACATTGTCCACCAATAATAGTGGCCTATTTAAATGGAATATTGATTAGTCCAATTGATGCTGAAAGTATTTACTACGTACCGCTTTAATAATTTAATCCTGCAGTAGTTCACCACTTCTATCTGCAAGTACTGTAATCGCTAAGTTGAAGCACTAAGATTGGGGCCTAGTCTCTGAATATCTAAACAATGCTGCTATAAATTGTAATAGTCATGACCACTAAGATATATAGTTAAGCTATAGGCGTAAAAGTTTCATATTGAGTATCCTACGCAATACTATATTCTAGGGTTTTTAGTAAAAACCTAAGATAAGAGGTGGGTGGCAGGCATGGTGGAATAAAAAACGTGTAAGATTTTAGTAAATTTGCGCCAAATCCCATGTATTGTCGTGTCCGTTCGCTTAATTAGTCCGTCTTGATATGCAACCCCTCCTGTCATTAGCGTACTCGATCACCCTGTTCGGCAGTCTTCCTCGAACATCGCCCGCTATCCTAGCAAGTAGCTTACTCTATATATAAAATAATGTAGACCTCGAGAAGGACCAGAGGTATACACACAACCAAAGCGAATCTAATCATTGTCACCGTTTCAATGTGCAGCATCCACTCGAGGATTTGGGGCTTGCCATGGCTGCCGCCTCGGCGATCAGTCTCGGGGGCGAAGGATCTGGAGATATACGCTAGAAAAGTTAATACGTGTGACTTGATTGAATACGAAACGCCCAGATGGCTTAGGATGCGATCAAGCATTTCCGTTGGTCCTCATAAGATCTCTTACCTGCGCCTGAAGACTTGTGAATCTCATCGAGTTGATTGCTATATACGCGCGCCTCGTTTACTCTGGCTCGACGCTCGCGGCGTCGCTTACATAACTCGCGACTTTAAACTGTACCTTGTTCGTAGAGAATTCTAGCATAAACATCAGCCCAGCGCCAAACGGTCACCTGCAAACTGGCCTTGATCGTCATATTGTGAAATGAATACACCGGGACACTGCGGCAGCATGCCGATGCGATGGAACAGAGAAGAAGACGAGATTTTACGGGCTTGCGTTGACGAGTACAGTGAGTTATGCTTCATTAATTAACTAATAGCCGTGGGATTGGGGAATTAGACTACCAACCCGTCTTCAAAGCGTGGCTGATGTTGGCTGTTGGTAGCGGAACTGGGCCGTTCGACAGATTGGAACCGTGTGGCCGCGAAGCTCCCCTTCCGGACCAACAAAGACTGCCGTAAGAGATGGCTCAACCACGTGTGCGGCAGCCTGAAGAAGGGGCCATGGGGGGCCGATGAGGACATGGCCTTGCGTGAAGCTGTCGGACGACACGGTCGAAAGTAAGTAAGAACTTGTTGTGCCAGGAGTTTGCTCAAGCTAACCAAATACTCTGTTCGGCACAGGTGGACGCTGGTTTCCAGGGACGTTGGATCGCGATCTGCTGACCGTAAGAAGACGCTGCCTTTAATTAATTGATTTTGCCAAGTTACGATTATTCGCTAACTATATGGCTTCAAGAATGTGCCAAGCGGTGGCAGCATAACCTAGATCCCCGATTGGATCATCAGCAGTGGACTCCTAAAGAGGTATATATGCCTCGAAGATATCCCTGCACTGTGACTGAAGTCTAACCGCTGAGGTTGCCTACAGGATGAGCTTCTTATAGAGTCGGTCGATCGCTACGGTCGTGAATGGAGGAAGATCCAAGAGAAACACTACAGCACCCGGTCAGCGAATGACTTGAAGAATCGGTTCGTCTTGCCCTTAGCTAACCTGTAACTCTGCTGATTCCACGTTGCAAACTAGGTTCAGCATTCTCTCCAAAAGGATTACAAGCAGAGCCTCTTCGAGATCCGGACTCGGCCATCACTGTTCCTCCTCCCCTGTTGTTGTCAGTGACCCGAGCCAAGAGGGCACGAGTCCGGACACGAATCCAGGAACTCCATTCTGCCTGGACCCGAATCTCTTACCTGAAGAGGGCTGGGAGGGCGTCTATAACCCTGAGGATCCGCAGGCCGATGTGAGGGAGAGTATGCGGCCAACTACCAACATGCAACAACAAAGGGAACAGCAGATGCGACCCCAGAAGCAGGCTGTAGCGCTGCCCCCACTCAACCATGACGACCAGTCGATGGCTATTGATGATGTGGAACAGTCCCCCGCCCCTTCGGCCTTTTCTTGGAACATAGGCACAACATCATCCACGACAACAGGGTCAGATCCATTTACCCACGGGGACTTCCTAAGCTCCATGCTTTCCAACGGCCTCGCTGCTATGTCGTCTGACCCTTATCATCACATCCAGACTGATGCTGGTGATCGCAACGGACTTGGCAGCAGTAGCAGCCACGTGGGAGGCCCGGTACCCGGTTCTGACACTATTGATTTAGTTCCGGATGGCATGAAAAACGACCAATTGCTTTCGCTACTGACTCACAGAGCGAGTAGATTGCGGAACTGCAATCCGGGTGGCAGCATCTGTATTCAGGCCTCGGGATGCGACAGAGAGGTTCTGAATTATGTGCTTGACGTGTTGCTACCTATTCGACATTTAGTAAAGATGGAGATCAACATGTGACTTGAATTTCTTCTTTCTTGGTCTTCAATACGAGTTTGCTTTGTATCTAGATTTGATATTTCACCACACCTAAGTCCTGATAGAACGAACATATAAATAGATTCACCCCTAGTTAGGTGTTCAGACCAAACAGGTTCACAGCCATGGAACATCTCTCTCTATCTCGTCTACAAAGTCTATAGCCTAGGGCCCTTGTGCGGAGCTAACATGCGGAGTTAACATGCGCATTTCACACTCAAAGGGTACCATATCTCCGCAGCGAATAATCTTGCACTGCGTATTTGGTCTCGTCGGGACCGGTATATTCTCCTGTCTTTTCTTTTTTCTTTCTTTCTTTCTTTCTTTTTTTTTTTTTTTGCCTTTTCGCCCCTACTCAAAACTTACAAGGCAAGGTCTACGCGGCTCCAAAGAGACCATAAGCAGGAATACTCCGTACGTTCCTGCCGCTATACTCTGATGCACCTAGTATGCGGACCGGAGTGTACTCCTGTCGCCAGAAATAAACCGTAGTGCCTCCGGAGTAGAACAGGCAACGCGTAGCATGGGAATCGTACACTACACGCTAATTCTAATTATCACCTTAAACAGGACATAACATGAAGTCGTTTGGCTGAGGAATCATGGTAGATACTGTTCGTATCCGCCCCATGGGTTTAGAACAAAAAACACGTCCGACATTATTTAGCTGAATTGCAGATTGTTCTCCACTTTCATAGACAACATGTCTAAATCTATTGAGCCATCCACCTTCAAAAACGGCTTTAAGCAGCCATCTGAAGGCGAACCATGGGTGTATCCAAAGGCGGGAGCAACAGAGCTACCACCCAAACCGCATTACGTCACACCACCCTCTGTTGACATTGACACTGCGCCAGTCAATAACTCTCTCGGAGGGAGCAAGCTGCGATCCTGGCCGACTATCTTCAATGGCACGAATAGTCCTGAGGGCATCCCAGATTGGTGGAATCCGTCTACTGAGGTAGATGTTTTGATCGTCGGTGGTAAGTACTAAGGCTCCACATATCGGAGGGCCAAGCCCGTGGCGAAACGGAATGCGAAAGAAAAAAGTAAGCAGTAAAAAGGACATCCGACTGACCCGAATATATACGTATTCAGCCGGACCAACGGGTCTAGAAATTGCTCTTAGCCTGGTTCGTCAAAATGTTAGCTTTCGCATTATTGACAAGGGAGAGATGCCTCTCCCGACGGGTCGTGCGGATGCTGTCTTGCCACGATATGTGGAGATATTGAACAATTGGGGCATCTCGACGGACGTCAGTGAGGAGGGTCCAATCATAGCGCGGACAGCTGTCTATCGAGACGGCAAGGTGCTCTTCCACGGACGAACGCATCAATCTGACTCGCGGTACCGGGGCTTGCACGTTATCACACAGGGCCAGCTGGAGCGCATCTTCGTGCGAGACCTCCTTCGTCATCAGGTCCTGGTTGAACGCTGCACCACGATGAAGGAATATGAGATCTCCGAATCAGACGACCCGGAACACCCTATCAAGGCTGTCATTCGGAATGACAAGATGGGACGTGAAGAGACCATTCGCGCCAAATTTCTGGTCGGTAGCGACGGCGCGTCCAGCATGATCCGAAAAAAGCTCGAAATCCCCTTCCACGGCGTGAGCACCGATCTCTACTGGGCCATTATGGATGGGAAGTACGAGTCCGATTACCCACATGCCTGGATCTTTGGCTGCGTTCTCAGCACCGAGCATGGGTGCTGTATCATCATTCCGCGAGAAGATGGACACATCCGACTGTATACGCAGCTCAACTTGTCTCTTATCGAACGCGCCCGTCAAGAAAGGCAGGAGCGAGACCCGACCTTCAAGGAAGCCGGCGGAAAAGTCGACGTCAACTCCATCACACCAGAAGAGGTGCTGGAGCAATCAAACCGAATCTTTGCCCCTTACACGGTGAAGTTCGCGTCCCCATTGACCTGGTACGCCATTTGGAAGGTCAGCGAAAGAGTTGCTGAATCCTTCTCTTCGGAAGACCTGAGAGTACACCTGGCCGGTGACGCTGCGTAAGTCGAATCGGACCCCAAAACGGCATATTCCTAGTAGCTAACCGGACTTTAGACATGTCCATAGTGTCTTTGGTGCTTTTGGCCTCAATGCGTCAATCTTGGACGCTTCCAACTTAGGCTGGAAACTCGGATACTGCTCTCGTGGCCTGTCGCCCATAGAGACTTTACTCCCAACGTATGACATGGAGCGCAGGCTTCATGCCGCGAACGTGGTAGAACTCTCGGGCAAGTATCTTCGCTACTGCTGCAATTCTGACATACCGGTACCGCACACTCACGAGTTGGGTAAAGATCTTGGTGCCAAGGCGATCCAACACGCCGTTCGAGGCGAGCCATACGGCTTTGCCAAGCCCGGAGAAAAACTCCCAGAACATCTCTACCTAGCCGACTACTATCACAAGTACGGTGCATTTATGCTTGGTCTAGATGTCGCATACGGCAAGTCGATTGTGTTCCCCGTGCAAGATGGAGCTCCCGTGCCAGTGGATGTCGACAATGGCGTTCGTGCACCTAATCCACGGGTAAGTCTCAGCTCTGGGACTACTGGGTACCTCTACGATGTGATGAAAGGTGCGGGCTCTTTCCATCTTGTCGTCTTTGCGTCTTCTATCGAGGGGTCGGTGAAACACAACCTTCAGCAATTTGCTAAATCATTGCGTGATCCGTCGGGATTCTACGCTCGCTATGGAGGCCGGCAGCTGTTCAACATTGTCATAGTGACTAAACGACTACCCTTTGAGATCGATGCCATCCTGGCAGAGCCGGAGCTTCAGAGGTTGAGAGAGGTGGCATCCGTTGTGTTTGACGATCAAGCTCCGGATGAGGACGCCCATACGATGTGGGGTGTTGATCATGGCACTGGTGCAGTGATCGCTATCCGTCCCGATCTATGGGTCGGACTGAGGGTACGACCTGATCAGGTCGATGAGCTGGATCAATATTTCTCTGGATTCTTGATCCCGCAAGTAAAGCAACAGGTCAATGGACATGCCCAGGCATAGTAGATCACTTGTGGTCTACTGAGAGTCGGGTACAGAATCTTTTCCCAGGCGTATTTAAATGGTCCTTCATAGATCAGCCTCAACATCACCATATGGGGTTGTGTTACATCGCACCGAAACTTTCGCTCAATTCGATAGTAATCATTTATAAGAAACAAGAGATAGTGATACGTTCAATCATCAATAGCAACTGTGACCGTGTATGAAAAATATTCCGTCGGTGGGAAGACTGTTTCGAGTACTCGAGTATTGAGCCACTATTATATAGTTAATATTGAGCATATTACGAAGAGTTATTCAATATCGACTCTACTCCTGACCGGGTTGAACGGATATATAAATCACCGCTTAAAGTACGGAACTTCTAACAGAGGTCTTTGCTCTTCTTATTGACTCATCGTTTTTCAGTCATCTACCCAGTCCTGTAGACATGTTACTCATCTGGGCTTTGTGGAAGCTTCTGCTAAACCAAGAATTATGGACTTATCGCAAAGCATAGTTATGGAGAAGACTTTTGGTTCTGTTACAGACAAAAGTCAGCATTGCGCGGTTGGTCCATAAGGTCAACCATACCCGGGTCCTTCTACGCCGCCTCCACAACCTAAGCTAATACAATCAACTTTACAACCCCACGACTAGACGACTAGTTATGTAGAGATCCCCTCTGTTAATACGTCGTGGTAAGACAAGTTGATTTTAGGGTCAAACTAAGCCTGGTAATATATACAGGATGAGTCTAACGTTAATGCAGCAGCAATACAGGATTAAACCAGGAGATTCGTCATCTTAGCGTCTAGTCTCAAAAACAAAAGAGAAAGTTCTCGTGATCACGCTGCTTCAGCCTTCACGTGCTTCGACTTGGCCACGACATCCTTTGCCAGTGCTTCCAACGAGACGCTCTGGAGAATATTGAAGATGGAAACTTCAGCGGCAGCCTGAAGCGTGAGCATGTTCCTGAGCTCCACCGCGACCAGAGAGTCGACGCCATATTGGGCAGGCGGCTTGGTCAGGTCAATGTCGCTGGCAGGGATCATGAAGACCTCCGCGAGTTTGTTGGCAATTGCCTCGCCCACCAAGTTTGCCGCCTCATCGGGGGAGCTGGCAGCCTTTAATTGTATCGAGAGCGATTTCGTGCTGCCGTCGGTGTCGGTCTCAAGGGCCTGGCGTCGAGAGGCAATCGACTGCCGGTACCTCAGGGCTTGGAATCGTGCGTCGCGGCCCATGACGGAGTCCCATTGCGGCCCCGGACCAGTGTTCAGACCGACAAGGATCTGGGGTTGATCAAGGGGGTACAGGATGGCAGCTGTGAAGGCTTGCAAGACGGCCTCTTCAGACAAAATGATTGTCTGGCCAGCCCTACGCCAGCTGTCCAATACGGCGCGGGTCTCGGATATGGATGCGTAGCCGACATCCTTCACGATACCCAAATCGAGCGACACGGCTGGAAGTCCCATGGATCGTCGCCGGCGCGCCAACGCGTCTTGGAACGAACAACCAGCGGCGTAGTTCGCCTGACTGGCAATACCCAGAGTTGCCGAAAGTGACGAGAGCATCACGTAAAAGTCGAGCGAGTCTGGATGCGAAAAGTGGGAATGTAAATTCCACGTCGCGGCAACCTTGGGACGAAGGGATGTCTGCCAGTTCTCAAGCGTCATCTGTTCAAAGATTGAGTCTTTCAGTGCCATGGCGCTATTCACCACTCCACGTATGGGCGGTAGTTTCTCGTCGTCCTTGCAGATGCGGAGTGCTCTCGTGAGGTCGTCCTTATCTGCAACATCACAGGAGATGGCCACCACACGGCAACCGACTTCACGCAGTTCAGCCGCCAGCGACGCGGACATTTGGGCATTGCCGGCACTACGGGAAAGTACGATGATGTTCTGCGCGCCGTGGGCAGCCATCCAATGCGCAAGGGATCGACCGATACCACCTGTACCACCAACGAGCAAATATGATGCGTTATGTTTGAGCTTGGGTGTCGGTGCGCGTGGCACGACCTGGACCTGTTCATCCGGCTCGATTGACAGCACGACTTTGCCCATGGGTCTGTCAGTTTGCATATGACGGAACGCATTTGCGACCTCTCCTATGGGATAGACAGTGACCGGGCGAACAGGTCGGATGATAGCTTGCGCGACGAGGCGAGCCACCTCATTGAGGACACGGTGCGCCTCATCCACTCGTTCCTGAAGAATTGCCATCATGTCAAGGGGCGCAAATGATACTACCCGTGAGAAGTTGGCCATCTCGAGAAGGCTGTTGCCCTCCACGTCTTGTTTACTCAGGTCGACAAATGTGCCAAAGGATGCTACGGCATCGAAGCTCGCCTGCAGCAAAGTACCAGATAGCGAGTTGAGTACAACATCAACGCCGCGTCCCTCTGTAGCAGCCAGAATGCCCTGCAAAAATGACGCATCCACGCTGGAGAAAATGTGCGCATCAGGAATGCCATACTCGCGTGTAAGGAAGTTGCGTTCCTCTTGGGAGCCAACTGTAGCGTAGACCTCGGCACCTAGATAGTCCTTAGCTAGTATGATAGCCGCCTGTCCAACGTCCCCTGCCGCAGCGTGGACTAAGATGGACTGCCCAGGGCGAACTCTCGCTATATCCACAAGGCCAATGTAACCGGTGCTAAAGATGTATGGAAGCGATGCGGCCTCGTGGAAGTCCATGTCTCCCGGCATATGTGCGATATTCTGCCAGCTTACACGGGCACGACTGCCAACATGGCCCGGCAGCAGAGCCATGACTTTGTCACCTACCTCAAATCCCTGGTCTGCAGCCTCAGGGCCCACCCTCGTGATAATGCCTGCACATTCTAGTCCCATGGCGCGACCGCGCAGCTGTCCCATTGCCGCTAAGACGTCCCGAGAATTAATCCCGTACGCTCGTGGCTCAATTTCAACAATGTCGGCATCGGAGGGTTCCTCGTGCTCGCCATCGAGGTCAAATGCCAGCGTATCCAACTGTCCGGGGATTCCAACTGCAAGATGCAACGGGTGATCGGCCTGGAAGAAAGGCTTCTCCGGTAACGAATCAGGTGCGGTCCAATCTGCTTCCTGCGGTGAGAACAGTTTGTTGCGCTTTGGGTCTTTAACGAGACGCGGGACTACCAGCAGACCATCACGCAGCGCAAATTCATTCTCTTGCACGGTGGTGGAGATGTCTCCACTAATAGCCGAGCCATATCTTAGCATGTATCTAATGGCCGAGGCGGCTGATTCGGACCAGGTGGGCTGGTTGGGGTCCAAATCCAGCGAGATGAAGCTGTGGCCAACGGACTCGCTGCGCAGGACACGCAAAAAGCCAGAGACGAGAGCCATTTCCGGGGTTTGGCACTCAACTGCACCGCCGCGTGTGACCCAAATTAGTCCCTTGCAGCTGGTGGCCATGGCCTTGATGCCTCGTAGGGCGGCTTCATCAAGGTTATGCAGCAATGGCTGATCCGCCTCTCCCAAGAAAATGCAAGCCTTACCCATGAGGGATGATGTCGTGACAGACTCGACCATTTCAATGACAGGAAGGCTTCCACCTGTCATCTGTCCTATGGACTTACACAACTCGTCGAGCCAGGACGTTGGTGGAGGTGTCTTGCTACTCACAACGATGGCGACGCTGTTGTCGGGTAGCTTCAACGACGACACAGCCACCGACGAAAGCGTGGTGCTAACCGCATGCATGTCTTCATCGGATTCCCAATCGCGAAGCTCAACATCAATGCCCGTGAATCCTCCACGCGTGAGGAAGTTCTGCCACAAGGTAACCGACAGATGAGGATCCGATCCGCGTTCAGCATCTTCGCTCATCCACCAAGAGGGAAGCAGCCCAAAGACGAACTTTTGGTCGATCTGACCCTGCGTCGTTTCCACCATCAAGAGGGAGCCACTAGGCTTTAGCAGGCTGCGAACGTGGGTTATCGCATTCCCCAGACTCTTAGTTTTGTGCAACGTTTGAACGGCAACTACAAGGTCATAGCTTTCTAGCTTGAAACCTTGGGCGGCGGGGTCCTGTTCGATATCGAGCTCGTCAAAGTGCATCTCCAGGTAGTCGCTCTGAGCCAAAAGGTCTTCCTTGATAGTATCAAAGGAGGAGTCGGACTTGTCAGTAAAGTGCCAACTGTCAATGAACGGGCCGCCTTCCTCGTCGGTACCAAGTGTCTTCAGCGCGTGGCGTACGGCAGCTCCTGAGCCTGTGCCGATCTGGAGTACACGGGCGCGAGGGTTCTTGTGCACGATAGTAGACAGTAGCGAGCTGAGATGGGCAAAGGCTGGGCTCAGCCTCAAGGCATTGGTTTGGTACCTGTTCAGGAGCTCCTTCGTCATGAGCTCGGCCGGGTCTAGCTCGCCTTTGAGAATTGGCCTGCTCTTGATTAGATTCATCTGCCCAAACGGGGTTTTTCTTTTCACATTAAGGAAGACTTACACAAGCATGCGACCAAGCCGACATACCAACTCGCCCTCGACACTCTGTGAGGCTGCAAGTGTTGTATTTCTCTGGCGGATTTGCTGAGAGTCACTTGCCCAAGTATCACTATCCGGGCCCAGACGGTGTGCAGCTGCAAGTTCAAGTATTTCTTTCATCCAAGCATGGTACTTCACTTGGTGCGGCGCGAGGTTAGCCACCTCCTGCTCTGTCAGAGCTTGCACGGCATCATGGCAGAAGTAGAGGCACACACGCCTAAGGCGCATCAACACATCCTTCTCATACTGCCACATGTCATTTGCTGGGCCGAGCCTGTCTTTGAGAGCCCTTTCTGCACCACTCAACCCTAGAGAGAGGGTACCTATCAGATCCGGCGCCCACTTGATCTCGGTACATAGCTCCTTGGTCCAAGGCTCAATATCTTGAGCAGTAGCACTGAGCCCTAGAGACTGGCACACGAGTCCATCCATCTCTAGCACGGTTTCGTCGCCATCAACGAGCGAGATATTCGCTCGAAGCTTTTGTGCGTCGAAGGATGGCAGCGTGGTGTTGCAGGTGAATCGGTGGCCGGTCACAGAGGTTATGGATGATGAAATCCGTAACCTGTCGATGGACCGTGGTACTCTGGCACCCTGGTCCCGGCCGCCGGCGCTGTGGAGGGCTACAATGGACGAAACCACAATAGAGTCCAATGTCGCTGGATGAATGACATGCTTGTCCAGGACCTTACTGGCGTCCGGCACATCAATGGTCGTAATGCAACGTCTGATATCCTTGGTGCTGGCGTCCTGCAGGATGCTCGTAATGTTCCGGAACGAGGGGCCGTGGGTAAGGCCAAGGGCCCGTAGATTGGCCCACATGTCGTCGGGATCGATGCGTCGAGTATATCCCGATTCTGAAAAAAGACTACCGGTGGTTCTACTGACTGGAAGGTCGAAGTCGGCTCGGACGAACCCTCTGGCATGTTGTGCCCAGCGGCTGTCTACTGTTACCGACCAGACTTCCCATTTCTTCCAGCCATGGGCGCCGATCACCTTGTCGCTGACAGACTGGAGCACCGTCTGCACCTCGATGCCGTCCGCATTGTCAGGCACCACGAGAGCTTGGTGAATCTCGACATCACGCAGGGTGAATCCCGACAGCGATGCGCCCTTGTCACTCTTCTCAGCAAGCTGCTTCATGGCCTCAATCGCGAGACATACATAGCCAGCACCTGGGTACAGGATACTTCCTTGAACGACATGGTCTCTTAACCACGGGCTGTCGGAGACACGCACTTGCTGCCTCCAGTACGCTGCCTGTGGATTTGTGCCAGGTACTGGAAACCCGAGAAGGTGGTGGAACTCATCCTCTCTTGCTCGATAGGCCTTGCTGTGGCGTGACTCCGCCCAGTGCCTGACGCTGTGGTTCCAAGGGTAAGAGGGCAGATCGGTCAAGATACGGGGCGTGTGTAAGAATCCACGGCTAAGTTGCGGGATATCGATCTGGTAGCCTCTGCGCAGCAGATTGAGGGCCATGGTGAGCATGCAATCGTGTGCATTTTCGTTACGCACGAGACAGCCCATGTAGGGTATGCTGATACCTTCAAACTCTGGCAGAGCGAGAATCTCCTTGATAGGGCCACCCAGCGCCGTATGAGGTCCTACCTCGAGAACAACGTCAATGTTGCTGCTCCCCGGCTCGTTAATGTCGCCAAGCACCATATCAGTGAATGCATTCACAAATTCTACCGGCTGGACTAGGCTGCCTACCCAGTGCTCAGGATCGACTAGCTGTTTGGTGCGGGTAATGCGCCCCCCCGTGACAGGTGACGAGAAAATGGCTTCGAGCTCCTTGTCCTTCAAGTTGTCTCCAGGACCAAGAGCAGCACGTAAGGCCTGCCGGTACCTTTCGGCGACTGGGATCATGTGGTGGGAATGGTAGCCCGTTTCCACTTTGAGGCGGCGTGCAAATACGCCTTCCTCAGTGGCTAGATCTAAAACTTTCTGCACGGCCGCTTCGTCGCCGGCAATTGTGACACTGCTGGGGCTGTTGACGCATGCAACTACTGCTTTGCCGGTTGCTTTGGTTAGCTGGTCTACATAGGCCTGGGCAGCGCTCTCTCCAACACCGACAGCACCCATGGCTCCTTTGGGGCCCTGGGATCGCTGGGTCATTTCACCGACCATGGCGGCTCTGTAATACGCAACAGCCATCGCCTGGCGCAGATTTAAAGCTCCCACTGCATATGCCGCACCAATCTCACCGGAGGAATGGCTGGTGACGGCGGTTGGCTTGATACCCCATGATGAGAGCAGGGATACCAAGGCTATCTGCACAGCAACGCATATGGGGATGCTCACAGCGGGTTGGTGGACCCTTGTCGTGGCCACATCTTGCATCAGCTCATCAGTCAGGGACCAGTTCGCGCCAAATTCGTTAAGGTAGTCCTCCGCCTCCTGAATAGTAGACCTAAATAAGGGGTACGCCTCTAATAGCTCGCGCCCCATGGCATGCCACTGGGCACCTTGGCCAGTGAAAACCATGCCTATGCGCGGCACCTTGTCACCCGGAAGTCGTGCTGGCTTGAATTGTGGCGCGTCCAGGCATTGAATGACTTGCTCCAGCACGTTCTCATTATATGACCATTGCACTGTGTGCGCCGAAACCCAGCCCGAAGGAAAGCGCGTTCGGTGCATGCTGAGGGTCCAGGCTAGATTCTGCATGAGGATTTCCGGGTCTTCAGTCGAGATGCGCGCCTGTAGGTACGCTTTGACGCTAGAGACCATGCGCTGACAGGCTTGCTCGTCACGGCCGTACATTATGAGCACCTCCCTCTTCAGGCCCAAACCTTTGCTCGTTTTTGTTCTGGCGGAGCGTGGAGGGAGGAAAGGCCTGCCATCTTCAAGGATGACGTGACTGTTCGTTCCGCCGTAGCCAAAGTTGTTGATGGACGCGCGGCGCGTCTCACCATCGGCGGCCGGCCAGGGCATCAGTTTAGTTACGACCCGTAGTCCCCACTCGTCAAGCTGCAACTTGGGGTTGGGCTTGTCAAAATTGACATTGGGCGGGATCTGGTTCTTTTCCATGGCTAGCACTACCTTAACAAGCGCAGCTATTCCCGATGCTGCCTCGGTATGGCCAAGAGATGTCTTGACAGAACCGATATATAGCGGCCGGTTCCGTCCTGTGCTTTGCTGTCCAAACACTGTTGCGATGGAGCGTGCCTCAATGCCGTCTCCAGTTGGTGTACCTAGACATAAGACCCGAATTCAGCATTCGTCCTTAGAATCTTTAAGGAGTGCCTTACCTGTACCATGCGCCTCAAAGTACTGAGTATCATTTGGACTCAGACCGGCTCGGCGGTAGGTCTCACGCATGAGCTCGATCTGCGCTGCTTGTGATGGCGACGTAATAGTCTCAGACTTCCCATCCTGATTTAACGCTGTTTCACGAATAACGGCTCTTATTGGGTTGCCCGCCGCGAGCGCATCGCTAAAAGGATTTCCGTTAGCTCCCAGCATGTCACCTCTGCTTTCTGTGTCCTAGAATTTACATGGTCTCACCTGAGTCTCTTGATGATAATGGTGCCCACGCCCTCGCCACGACCATAGCCATTTGCTCGCGAATCAAAGGCGTAACACTTGCCGTCTGGCGAGAGCATGCTGAGTGAAGAGAAGAGCTTGAAGCAATCAGGTGCCAGCAGCAGGTTGCTTCCGCAAACGATGGACATGTCGGCTTCTCCGGCGCGCAGGCCGAGTACGGCCTGATGTAGCGACACGAGAGCGCCCGAGCAGCCCGTATCGATTGACATGCTAGGCCCCTGAAGGTCGTAAAAGTGCGATATTCTGTTGGATGCCATGGCGGAAAACGTACCGATCAGTGTCGACCGTGGCAGATTGTCCCCATCGCGCATGAGGCCGTCGTGGTAGTCGTGCGTAAAGACACTTGCGTATACCGATGTGTTGGAGCCGGCTACTTGGGCGAGCGGGAGACCAGCGTTCTCCAGCGCCTCATAAGTAGACTCGAGCTGGATTCGGAACTGAGGGTCCATGGCCTGTTTATGGTTAACCATGAGCATGTGAGCCTTCCTTCTCTCACACGGAGGTCATATGAGGGAGCTGTCTTACCGAAGCAAGCTCAGCCGGAAAGCCAAAAAAGGCAGCATCAAAGAGACCAACGTCTTCTTCGATAAAGTGTGCTCCCTTCACATTTGTCTAGATTGTGGCAATTTGTTCGTTAATATTCATTGACAAAAGGAGAGCAGTTTTTCTTACCGTGCTCAGTTTCGAATTTTCGGGATGATATTGTCCTCTATGACCGTAACGAGACATTGGAACCTCAGACCAGGCGCTTCTGCCCTCAGCTAGCATGTCCCATAGCTTGTCTGGGTTGCTAGCGTCGCCGCCAAACTTGCAGCTCATGCCAATGATGGCAATGGGCTCGGTTGCCAATCGAGCATTCTGGTCCATGCTACCCATTGTGTGATGATTAAAAGGTATTAATGGCACCGGGCAATAGCACACAGGATAGGTCAGGCTGTGAGTGAGACTCGAGGTGGTAAAGACTGCCTAGTAAGTTAAACCTTTTATAACATAAACCACAGCATTCGCTCGTTCGTGCAGACGGTTTGAGCTTCAGAGTCGAATAAGCCTTAGCCTAACACAATAGAGTTTGAGTGATTGAACGTCGAAGTCTGCAAATGATCTTGATCCTTTTTAGTGGCTGAAAGTGCGTTCAGAGTCGCCCTTTGTCGTGTTGCATATTTTATTTCGGTGCGAGTATTCTTAATGATCGAAAAGACTTATTATGCATGAGACAGAGAGGAACGCGGATCATGTGCCATCTTAGAGAACGCGACCATACTCTTGAAACCTGAAACATAATCTGATGAGGCTCATTGAAATCCTGCCTTACTCTGTGTGATTCGTCACTTCTCCCAGATTCCCGAGTGCTACTCTGGCTCCCGGTCGGCAAGGGCCGAGTACTACTCGGCGCCATGCACTCGGGATGTGCCCGGAGTAATACTCCGTCTTGATCATGGTAACACCCTGCGGCTGCTACTACTCAGTATTAGCCAAGGCAACGCCTTTAGTGCTTAGTATTTCGATCGAGCCGCAATCATATACTTGAACGCTATCATAGATCACTCTTGGGAAGGAATAGAGGCTATGTAGTAGGGCGTTTGATTCCCTCTTTCTACGTCAATTTTTCATTATTAATTTATTCGCTATTTTTGCATCATAATTTCGACATCTTCCTTTTCAAGCAGTTATGGCACGAACAACATCGGACGTTCGAGGGCCCGCCGTCGATGACTCGCAGGAGCCATCGACGACCTTCATATTTGGCCCGCATATTGGGACCTTTACCAAGCAATCAATGGACAAACATGTCCGGCCCATATCGCAAGGACCTCACCGAGAATGGATTCTAGAGGCAATCGCCGGGCTGCCCGACTATTGGGAAGCCCTCACGGAAAAGATGCCTGAAGTCGGTGCAGCCATTTCGGGCCACAAGCAGCTAGGCGACTTAGATTCATGGTTTCGACAAGGACAGACGGATATGTCGCCAGATTCCCAGCTGCCCAACATCATCATCACTCCTCTGGTGGTGCTCATACAGCTCACGCAGTATTGGCAATACCTTGAGCTCACACAAGATACGAGTGCCGGCGGAGACCTTCATGCCAACCTGGTTTGCCAGCAGCAGAAGCAATCACAAAACGTTAACAAGTTTGAAACCCTGGGATTCTGTGGAGGCATGCTGGGCGCCATCGCTGTGGCCAGCGCGCATAACCGGCAAGGGCTTGAAAAGTACGGCGCCGTGGCGGTACGTCTAGCGATGCTCCTGGGCGCACTGGCCGACGCGCGCAACGTGTGGGACAGCAACAGGGGCAAGGGCCCGGCTACATCATTTGCAGTGGCATGGATTAGCCCCAAGCAGGGCGAAGACGTGCGGCGCATCATTGAGGCTCTGTCACCTGATGCGTACCTGGCCGTTGTGTTTGATGCCACCCGTGCCACAGTCATCACAACTCAGACCACGGCGCCGCTACTATCGAAGCGGCTTCGGGCAGAAGCTGGGGCGATCGTACACGATCTGGGCATGCGGGCTTACATTCACAGTCCTGATCCGGCCTGGAATATCTATGCCGACATGCTCGTCGAAATGTGCAATTCAATGAAGGATTTGCAGTATCCGGATGTGGCCGAGATGGCACTGTCAACATATAACAACCGCGCCGAAGGGAAGGCGGTGCAGGCTTCGAATGTTACTGAAATGCTTGTAAGGGGCATTTTGGTGCAGCAGTGCGACTGGTTCGGAACTTTTTCGGCTATGATCAAGGAGAAGCAGCCGCTATTGGTTACTTTGGGCCTGCAAAGGTGTGTACCTCCGAGTCTAATGCGGCGAGTAGGAAATCGGCAGGTGTACGTTCCTGAGGATGCGGCACGTCTTTCACCACCTGTGAAGCCTCGAGCTGAGGCACAAGAGGAATCTTCTGTCTCATCTCCGGCGCAATCCCACCAGCAGCTACCCTCACCGTCGGACCTTGACAGTGACAAGGACACGATCGCCGTTATTGGCATGTCTGTTAAGACAGCGGGAGCCGATGACCTGCTGGAGTTTGCCGATATGCTCAAAACGGGGAAGAGTCAGCACGAGCGTATCACTAGAGACCGTATACCGCACGATATGCTGTTTCGTGAAGACCCCGAAGGCCAGCGAGAATGGTACGGCTGCTTTGTGCGTGACTCGGACGCTTTTGACCACAAGTTCTTCAAGCGTAGCCCACGCGAGTCCGTCGCCATCGACCCACAAGGTCGCATTGCACTTGAGCTGGCCTACCAGGCCGTGGAGCAGTCCGGCTACTTCTCAGCTTCTCATGAAGACAGCCACGTCGGCGTCTACCACGGTGTAGCGGCCGTTGATTACGATCAGAACGCCTTTAGCAACGAGCCAAACGCTTTCACAGCCACTGGACAACTTAGAAGCTTCATCAGCGGGAGGTTGTCGCACTTCTTTGGCTGGACCGGCCCAAGTATGACGTTTGATACAGCCTGCTCATCTTCTATGGTGGCTATCCATACAGCTTGTCTCAACCTCCTGGCTGGTGAATGTACGGCTGCCCTCGCAGGTGGCTCCAGCATCATCACCAGCATGCTTTGGCATCAAGACATGGCTGCTGGGAGCTTTCTCAGTCCAACAGGCCAATGCAAGCCGTTTGATGATAATGCGGATGGATACTGTCGCGCCGAGGGATTTGGCTTTGTCTTTTTGAAGAAACTGTCGGATGCGGTACGAGACGGCAATACCGTACTGGCTACTATTCCCAGCACAGCCGTTTACCAGAATCAGAACTCCACGCCCTTGTTTGTGCCTAACTCACCGTCCCTTTCCCGTCTGCTCAAGGATGTGGTGCGTAAGGCAGATCTGGAAGCGAAAGAAGTGTCTTTCGTTGAGGCACATGGCACGGTTAGTCCCTAGGTTCATTTCTTTCTTCAGTTTAACCTCAATGCTTAACATCTGGTACAGGGTACAGCTGTAGGCGATCCGGCTGAGTATGATAGTATCCGCTCCGCCCTCGGAGGGCCAGCGTCTGGCCGTGAAAGGAATCTGGCCATTGGATCAGCCAAAGGATTCGTGGGCCACGCGGAGGGGGCATCAGGTGTTATTTCACTCATCAAGGTCATTATGATGATGCAACAACGCTTCATTCCGCCCCAGGCCAGCCACACAAATATGAACCATAACATTGATGTACGGCAGGATGACATGATGGAGGTGGTCACTGATCTGCGGTCATGGGATCACGACCACAAGGTTGCCCTCATCAACAATTACGGTGCATGCGGTAGCAATGCGTCCATGATTGTCGCTCAAGCAAAGGAGCCGTCGAGTCGCATATCCAGAAGCACCGATGAGAACCGCCAATATCCCTTTTGGATTCCCGGTCTTGATTCTCGGGCCATCACAGCTTACTGCACCAAATTAGTTTCGTACCTGCCTTCATTACACAACGGCCCCAGCTCGCTCGCTGATATCTCCTTCAATATCGGCCGACAGTCTAACCGTGGCCTGGCGGAGGGCTACATCTTCACCTGCAGTTCTCTTACTGAGCTTGATCAAAAGTTGCGGCTGGGGGCGGCGGCTTCTGACCTAGGTGCTGCTGGCATCACTAAAGTCAAGGCTGAGAGGCCGGTCATCCTGTGCTTTGGCGGCCAAATTTCACTCTACGTTGGGCTAGGCCGTAATTTTTATGAAAGTATGGCCGTCTTTCGCCAGCATCTGGACCGTGTTGACTCGGTGGTGACGTCTCTGGGTGAACCGAGCATCTTCCCAGGCATTTTCTCGCGCGAACCTGTCCGGAATCCCGTCAAGCTGCAGACTATGTTGTTTGCAATGCAGTACGCCTGCGCAAAGAGTTGGGAGGATTGTGGTCTCAAGTCAAGAATTGCAGCAGTTGTTGGCCATTCTTTTGGTGAGATTACTGCTCTATGCGTGGCTGGTGCGCTGAAACTACAAGATACCGTCCGCCTCGTCATAGAGAGGGCCAAGTTGGTGCGCGATTCGTGGGGACCTGAATCGGGCGCAATGATGGCTATTGAGGCCGATGAGTCGGTCGTCCACGAACTTGTACAAGAGGCAAATCGCACCCTTAATTCAGATGGCTCAGTTAGCATTGCGTGCTACAACGGTCCGCGCAGCTTCACGCTGGCTGGAACCACGGCTGCTGTAGACGCAGTACAACTCCTCATCCATGGCAAATTTCCCCATATAAGGAGCAAACGGCTCAGTGTGACCAATGCATTCCATTCCAAGCTTGTTGAGAAATTGTTGGAAGGCTTGGAGCAGATTGGTAAGGGGATAGAGTTCCAACCGCCTGTCATCCCCATCGAACGCGCCACAGAAGAGGCGAGCAATGGAAAGTTGGATTGGACCTTTGTTCGCCAACACATGCGCCAGCCTGTCTATTTCAACCATGCAGTGCAGCGCTTGTCTAAGAAATATCCGCAAGCCATCTTCTTGGAGGCTGGTTCGAACTCCACCATCACGGTCATGGCAGAACGGGCGCTGGCTCAGACTTCACAACGCGACCAACACTTCCAAAGCCTTTCCGTGACCAATTGTGAGTCTGGCTTCGACGGCCTAACGAATGCCACGGCCTCGCTGTGGAAACAGGGTCTACGGGTGATGTTTTGGGCTCACCACCAGCTGCAGTCGCCCGAGTACACAACGTTGGTCCTGCCGCCGTACCAGTTCGACAAATCATCGTCCTCGCGGCACTGGCTTCCGATCCAGTCTCCATTGGAAGAAGTCAAGCGTAGAGCCGCCAGGGTGCTCCTAGAACAAAGCGTTTCACTTCCAAGAGAAGAGGATCACAAGAGGCGATTGGCGATGTGGGACTTTATCGGATACCAGGACAGCAGCAAGAAGCATTCCCGTTTCCGCATCAACCCCAAATCAGACCGTTACATGGAACTCGTCTCGGCCCACGTAGTTGCCCACACGGCGCCCATCTGCCCAGCTACGCTCGAATTCGACATAATGATTGAAGCCGTGCTCAGCCTCCATCCGGAATGGAAGGAGGCAGGCACCATGCAGCCCGCCGTGCGTGACATGGTCAACCACTCTCCTATCTGCTTCGATCCGTCGCGTGTCTTCTATCTGGACCTGGTGGAGACTGATCCTGGTCAGGAGTGGAATGCCCGCTTCTTCAGCGTGGAAAATGAATCGGGTAGACAGGATATACATGTGGATGCATGTGTGCAAGTGCGCTCGTTGGAAGACCGCCAATATACCAAGGAGTTTTCACAGTTGACTCGTTTGGTCAGTCACAGCCGGACTCAGGAACTTCTCCATGCTCGCCTGGACGACGACGGGGTGGAAATACTGCAAGGCCGCCAAGTATATCGGGCCTTTGGCAAGGTTGTGGACTATTCCGACATCTACCGCGGCGTGCGCTATGTCGTGGGATGCGGGAATGAGTGCGCTGGCGTGGTGCAGCTGGATACGAAGCACCGGCGCAGCGACACATGGCTTGACGTGCCACTAAGTGACTCCTTTGCGCAGATCGGTGGTATGTGGACCAACCTCATGAGTCCGGAGACGTCCACAGCGAGCGATGACATTTACATTGCCAAGGGGGTTGAGTTGCTGATGCGGGCACCAAGCCATAAGATGGCCGAGCATGCTGCCATCGATATGTGGCACGTGTATGCGCGCCATGCGCGACAGGGCGAGAAGTCCTACACTACGGACATGTTCATCTTCAATCCCACGACGGGAGAGCTTGTTGAAGTCATGCTGGGCGTACAATGGGGCCGTGTGGCGAAGGCGTCCATGAGCCGGATGCTGCAGATGAGGACCAAGGACGAGTCGGTTTTGCGCCTCAGCCCTGTGCCTAATGTCCACTCACATCAACCCAAGGCTGCTCCTCGGAGTGCTGAGATCAACTCTGCGCCGGCAGGCAGCTCTTCCAAACAAAAGCCCTCGCCGAAGAGAAAGGCACAATCTGGGTCATCCTCAGTCCGACGAGATATGACGGACGAAGTGCGCAGCTTGGTAGCCCGTATAACGGGGATAGAAGCCAGCGAGCTGGAGCTGGATGTCGAGATTACCGACTATGGCATCGACTCGCTCATGGGAATGGAACTTGGGCGTGAGGGTAAGTGTTCCAAAGAAAGGCAGAAACAAAACTCGTTCTTGAAAAAGGCTAATTCGTTGGCGCGTAGTGGAGAGAATGTTCAAATGCACGTTGGATCAGGCCCAGCAGATGGAAGCTACGACGCTACGCAAGTTTGTGGCATGCGTAGAGAACGCGCTGTTCGGCCAGGATGCTTCTGAGGCTACCGATGAGAGGCCCCCACCGACAGAACCGGAAATGCGATCATCCAACGTGAAGTCCAAAGACATGACGGAGGCAGTCCGTAACCTCGTCGCCACCGTGACAGGGCTGGACCCCAACGAAATGCCACTTGATGCCGAAATCGCGGACTTCGGCATCGACTCTCTTATGGGCATGGAGCTCGGCCGCGAGGTCGAAAGGGTCTTTGCATGCACGCTGGATCAGACTGAGCAGCTAAACGCCAATACTCTGCGCAAGTTCGTCGTGTGTGTCGAGAACGCTGTGTTTAGGGAGAAGAAAGAAGTGACGAGAGAAGAGCAAGACCAGGAACAATCTGGCGACGAAGAAGGCTTCTCGGGAAGCTCGTCGGCAGTTGTTCTTGTTGAGCACGACGCAGTCTTTTCAGACAGTTGGTCAGAGTCAAGCGCTCTTTTGACGCCGCCGCCGGAGGCGAAGCCAACGACAAGCCCGCTGGTGTTGTCGATGTCGGATGTTCTTACCTCGTTTGGCCAAGTAAAGCTAGCCACCGACCGGAGCCTTAGCGACTATCACCTGGACCAGTTTGAGAGGTCCTACTTGGCTGATAGCAACCGCCTCTGTACTGCCCTGGTCGTCGAGGCGTTTGACAAGCTTGGGTGCCATCTTCGCACCTCTGCCGCTGGCCAACCACTGAACCGTGTACGGTTCGCCCCTGAGCACACCCGACTCGGACAATGGTTGTACAACTTTTTGGAGAGAGATGCGCGCCTGGTCGATATCAACCATAGCACCGGGCAGGTGACGCGCACTTGGCTGACAGTGCCGCCTAAGACCAGCCATGCGATGCTGCAGGATTTGCTGGCCCAGCATCCTAACTTCGCCGCAGTCAGCCGGCTGACCTATCACGTCGGTCAGCAGCTGGCGTCCGAGTTGAGCGGCAAGGCAGATGGCCAGAGCGTCCTATTTGGCAGTCCAGATGGTTTAAAGTTGATAGCGGCTCTGTATACCGAGTTTCCGTTCTTCCGCGCTGGCTACTCCCAGATGTGCGAAATAGTGAAGGGTGTTCTCGAGCGCCTTCCTGCCAGCCACCAGGGAGAGACGTTCAGGGTGCTCGAGGTGGGAGGTGGGACCGGAGGACTGACGCGCGTCATGGCGTCTCTTTTGGCATCCCTGGATCGGCCGGTTGAGTACACCTTCACGGATGCATCGCCCATCATGGTGGCTGACGCTCGCCGCCACTTGGAGCACCAGTACCCCTTTATGCGCTTTGTTGTTCATGACATGGCGAACGTTGCTGGCCAAGAGCTGCGTGGACAACATCTTGTGCTGGCCAACACCTCCTTTAAGGTGACATCATTGTCCAACGTGCGGCCTGTTTTGCGGTCGGACGGCTTCCTCGTGACATTACAGATGACCGGTGCCTTACCCTGGGCCTCTCTCATCTTTGGCCTGCTCGAGGACGGGTTCCAGCATGCGCCCGTGGCCCTTGAGCATTGGGAACGCGAACTGCATGCCGCCGGCTTTGGTCATGTCGACTGGACCGATGGAAACACATCGGCCAATGCGTACCAGAAGGTTATCATGGCCATAGCTTCAGGCGGCCAGGGTCCGCGACTACCAAAGTCATCAGCCCCAACAAAGGTAACAAGAGTTGACGATGGTGCACGGACAACGGAGGTAGAGAGACTGGTGCAACAATATGCCAGTGGCTGGGCCACGCCACAATTGCTTCGCTTCAAGGCAAAGATGCAAGACAACGGCAGAGCACCCAACCGTGGCGCCGTTGTCCTCGTAACTGGTGCTACGGGAAGCTTGGGGTCACACATTGTGCAAAAGCTGGCGGAAAACCCCTCCGTAGCCCAGGTCGTATGCGTCAACCGCGATTCCATCAGCGTGCCCGCCCTCAAACGACAGCAAGACGCTTTCCAGGAAAGGAACATTAAGTTGAAACCTGCAGCCCGCGCGAAGCTCCGTGTGCTGGCCACAGACACGGCCAAGGCGCAACTCGGCCTGCCTGTCCACGAATACACCTGGCTCGTGCAAAATATCACTCACATTATCCACAATGCCTGGCCGATGAGCTGGACACGCACCGTCTCCGCATTCGCGCCGCAGCTTCAGTCCATGAGGAACCTGTTGGACCTGGCGCGCGAGGCGGCCATAGCGCCTAGCCGGAACAGGGTCCTAGTCGGCTTTCAGTTTGTCTCGTCAATTGGCGTCGTCGGCAACTCCGGCACTACTGGTCGCGTTCTCGAGCGCCGCCTCCCCGTCTCGGCCACGGTGCCTATTGGGTACGCCGAGGCAAAATGGGCCTGCGAGGCGCTCCTCGACGAAACCCTTCACAAGTTCCCTGCCCTGTTCCGTCCCCACGTGACCCGCCCGGGACAGATTGCGGGCTCGTCAACGAGTGGCTATTGGAACACTATCGAGCACCTGCCCTTCTTCCTCAAGTCTGCTCAGGCCTTGGGCGTCTGGCCCGACCTGGACGGCATCATGCAGTGGGTGCCTGTCGATCTCAGCGCGGGAGTCATGGCCGATCTCATTTTGAACCCCGGCGCGTCTCACCCTGTCTACCACGTCGACAACCCCGTCGGCCAACAATGGAAGGACATGAACCGAGTCCTGGCCCGCGCTCTGGGCATTCCTGAGTCGACCGAATTTATCCCCTTGATAGACTGGGTCAAACGCGTCAGGGCCTCGCCTCTCGTGCCCGAGACAGAGAATCCCGCCGCAAGACCTGGTATGCCGGACTGGCTGGAGACCAACTTTGAACGGATGGCCTGTGGGGGACTGATTTTGAATACCGAACGGGCCAAGGAGCATAGCCGCACCATGGCAAGGGAGGTCGGACCTGTCAGTCCGGAGATGGTGTCCAGGTTTATGGATTATTGGAGGAAAGTGGGCTTTCTGCATTAATACTAACTAGCTACCTCGCTAGCCTTGAACTCATCGAGTGTCGTATGATTGTATATAGAACATCTCCCAGGCTTGCTTGCAAAACTCGAATGTCATGTTTTATCAGCACATATCATTCTTTCGATAGATAAACTTTGATACAATGGCATAGGCAACAATCTCTCAACTCAGTTCATCCAACACACAGAGTCTACTGTTCCTCTAGTCCTCACTACACTGGAAGGGTGGGTTTCCCACCCAAGTCATGTCTAGTAGAAACATTAGCGTTGGCAACTACAACACAGTATCCTAAATTCATTTGCGTGCGGGGTGTCGAGGAATTTCCCCACGTTCAAGTAAGTCCTATGGTTTGAGGGTAATTAAATGGCAAAAGGTGTGGTTGCAGTTTTGAAAAATTGTCAAGCTACTTCGAAGTAATTGTATTAGATCAGTACCTCCACAAGGAAAAAAGGGGGCAAGTGGGTGCCTGTAGTATGGTTCTTAGGCTATGAAATTGAAGCTCCCCAATGGTTCACCTCGGGAGAAAGGAGAAAAGATGTGCCTTGATTAATACAGGGAGCTAACCAAGCTTGTGTTTCTTGCGATCCATGAAAAGCGATACGATGAGACAAAAGCAGCCGGAGGCTATGGACGTGATAAACACACGGCTGATGGCAAACACAATAGCAGCGAGAACTTGCTGTTGCTGGTCGGGCGTCAGCGTTTTCAAGAGAGTGCTCCCTGAGCCGGAGGTTAAACTTTGAATCCCCGTCTTGTCTAGGTCGGGAAAATCGTGGCGAATCCTGTTGTCGGCCAGGTTCAGAAAGATGGCATTGGCGATGGACAGTGCGATCGCCAGTCCTCCCCCTCGTGCACACATGATGAATCCCACAGCGCTCGATGTCTCCTTGCGTGGAGCTATCCATTGGGCCACGGCGAATGGAGCATTGAGAAACATGCCGGTGCCAATTCCGTTGAGAACCATGGCTCCGTAGATGTATCCGTTGGACGTCGAGAGATTAATTCGGTAGAGCATGGCGTTGGCGGCGATAACTAGAACCGATCCGGTGACATACCATGGCATGCTGTATCCCAGTCGTGCCATGAGGTGGCCGTTTAGCATGGTGAAGACCGCCAGGGACCCGATGAATGGTAGTAACCGTACACCTGCCAGTAGAGAATTGGTGTCCTGCACGAACTGAAAGTATAGCGGGATGAAATAGATGGTCACAAAGGACGACGTCCCCGCAGAGGCTCCCACCATGAATTGGATCAACAGGCCTCTGTTCTTCAGGAAATGAACTGGAAACATTCGATTCTGCCGGTCGGACCAGACTTGATGGAGGCTCAGCGCGATAAACAGAACGCCCGCAACCACGAACAGAGCGATTTCTCGGGCGCTGTTCCACGCAAATGTTGTGCCGCCAAATGAGATGGCCATGAGTATAGAAACATACATCCCGATCACGAGAGTGTTTCCTATCCAGTCCACCGCCTTCATACGGTCCCAGAACTTCATCCCCGGCTGGAGATCACGAGATGGAAGCAAGAAGAAATATGCTGGCGCAAAGGCGCCTCCGATGCAAAGATTAATATAAAAGGCCCATCTCCACGTTGCGGACGCATTGGACGCAAAAGCTCCTCCAATCACAGGTCCGAGGCTGGAGCAAAGATACCATAGTCAGTAATCCGATTTGGTCTGCTCCCCACTCTCTGCGAAGCGAGCTACTCACACGGTGCCAAAACCGAATACCACCCCGATAATACCGATGTATTTGGGTCGTTCCACCGGTGTCGTGAACAGAGACAGCATCATCATGACTCCCAGGTACATTCCTCCGCCGCCAAGGCCGCCCAGAGCACGGCCGATAATGAGGGCATCCATGTTAGGCGCCGCCCCGCATATGGCCGAACCGATCTCAAAAATCACCACGCAGAGCACATAGATCCATTTTGGATTAAACTGGCCATATATTCGCCCCCTGCGGACATTCGTTGGTAGTTAATTTTAAGGAACTTCGCTGAAAACGGTTCGAATTGGTGCCAATGCTTACCAGAGCAGATTAGTGCTCGCCGTTCCGAGAAGAAATGACACTGACAGCCAAGGCAATTTAGAGATTGAATCAAACTCGGCGATAATGTTTGGCTGAACATCCGCGACAATCGTCTGATCCAGGGCGAATAAGAACACGCTGGACAAGATGGCAGTCACTACAGAACGCGTATGATCAGGAACTATACCCAAGCTTGGAAGTTATCGAACATGCGAATCCTCTCTCTAGCTTACCAGCGAACGCCCATTTGATTCCGTGGATATCTCGTGGGGAGGGAGGTTCAGATGTTCCCAGGGGTACGGGTTGTTTGTGATCGGTGCTGTCGATGTGGTTGGGGGCCTTCTCTTGGTCGGTATGAACCTCTACGCCTCGAGAGCTTTGTCGCGAAGCAACCTTGCCCATCACAGCTATTCGAGGCTGCATTTCCGTGTCGGTAACCGTAGTTTCCGACATTGTGTTGGATTGAGGTGAAGGAAGAGGTTCAATCAAGAGAGCTGCTCTCAGCGGGGACTTGGAGCGTCAGCGAAAGTCCTTTTTCTCCTTCTCTCTCTCTCTCCCCGTGTGGACAGGGTTCACACACGGATCCCTGTCGACAAACCGATCTCCTCTCGGTGTTAACCGAGCTAACAGCGAGTCAACGGTCAAGGTTCCATCCATGATATGATATGATGGACGGAGTATCGTCCCTGGACCAGAGTAGTGGAGACTGGGAGATCCCGTGTTCTCCCCGGACCAATGACCAACCACGGATCTTCACCGTCGGTGTTAACCCACGGAATTAACATTGAATCCGTGGTATGTCCGACCCAACGTGGTAGCGAATCTCTTGGACAAAATGCCCTAAAAGCTTGATTACGAAGGAATCTGATTAAAATGCTTCTCATGACGTGCCGGGGATCTTTTGAACCAATAATCTCTATCTATACTGGGGAAACATTCTCGATTAGTTATCACGCATCTTTGTATAAATCTGCCCGGTATCGCATATCCATCAATAGTGAAACTATAGAGATTCCTTGACCACATTATGAACCCTGACTGGAGTAACGTGACCTATCTGAAATATACCCAGTCTTTGGAATTCTAGTTGGGACTGCTCGATAGAAAAACTGCACTCGAAACAATTCAGATGGTTTACTGCAGTGGACCCAACCCTACCTGTAGCAAGGTCGTGCTAACGGAGCGGTCTTCATCCTGACCAGTATGGTTGACTGCTATCACACTACAGCGTAAGAGCGGGAAAACAAGAGAGCGATTGTCTTGATGTGAGCATGATTGATTTGTGCTCATTCAAAAATGCTCCCACCTCAAGGGGAAGGAGCTTGCTTTTCGTTCCGTTCAATCTCTAACATGCAATGTGCGGCATCTAAAATTGTCTCCTCGAGACTTCGGAACTCCACCCCTAAGAATTTCTTCACTTTGGTATTATCAATAGAGTATGCACCTGGCGGTAACGAGCGTGTTCCGGGTTTGCCCCGCGGCGTGCGTTCGCTCAGTTCGGGATGGTGTGATCGGAGAATATCGCAAACATCCTGGAAGTCAAATTGCCGGGCGCACACCACAAACCGTTGGTGGCCTGCCTCCGGGACAATCATAGCTTTGAATTGCGCATCGGCAAGATCCTGTAAGCATGGTTAGTTTGATCCAATTACGTATCAACCTGGGGCGACCTACTCGGACGTCCACGTAGGTGTGTACAGGCATATAGGGCACGGGCGCATCTTTGCTCGAGCTGAAGCAAAACTTCCACAGCCGAGCGTTGGATTCGTTCAGTTCCCCGATCCTGGTGATAGAGTGGCGTAGAGGACCAAAAGTCGCCGGCGGAGATAGCGTCACCAAGTCAAAATGTGGCTGTTCGTCCTTCATAAACTTCCAAGCTGGGTAGACTCTTAGTATCCGGGATTCTGCCAAACCGCAATCCGAGCAAGCAACATACCTTCTCGTTCTGCAAAAAGCTTACTACCTCTGTATGCTTTTGACGGATCCCCGTTCACTGCCTCTTCCCAGGTAACCGGATTCCAATCTTCTTCCGTATACAGTCTTGGTGGGTCCGAGACCAAGTTGTCGTAGTCAATCACACTGGCGCAGCTGCCGGTCCAAATGACTCGCTTCACACTCGGGGCATGGTCTTTCACGGCATTGAGTAGGTTCAATGTGCCCTTGATCGCCGGCTCGAGGAACTGAAGATTACTGCCCACATTCGCGTACGTGAACGGGGATGCAGTATGATAGACGGTGTCAAACGCGGGGGTCCCCTGTACTGCGGTGTCGTATGATCCCGGCGCGACGATATCGGGGACGATTGTGATCGTGATCTGAGATTGCTGGGCGGCGAAGTCCCGCAAGATTTTATCACCTTTTTCTTGTGTTCTAACCGCACAACAGACGGTGCAGCCATGGTCAAGAAGCTTGGCTAAGATGTGGGATCCGATGAAGCCGTTGCCCCCGGTAAGAAGGACATGACGGGCCATTTCTTTTTTCAGCACTTGTGTGTATGTGTGTGTTTGATTTCATGGATTTCCCTATAAGAAGATGTAGAGGGAAAGTGAGGCCGAGGTTGGAGAGAGCCAGCAATGAACAAGGTCTTGTCGGTGCTGTGCTTAAGCTGATTGAGGAGCATTAAAGACAAGAGAGGGATTTCTCCACCCGGGCCACCTCTTCCATAAGTTTGGTTTGTTGCTTCCCCGCCTCGATAAGGCTAGTAATTCCCAATTGGGTCAGAATGGAGAAACCCGAGTATACTCGGGTCCCGGTTCCACTTCCTTTCCGTCGACTCGACGCCACTATTCCGTCTCTTTGAGAGACTCCGTCTTAGACCAAAGGTCCGGCTCGAGCCTGAGCTACTTAGCCCAGTTTTTTATTTTTTATTTTCCTACTACTCTCTAATACCACTTAATATTGTCTTTGATCATCCCACCTTTTATTGAGCATTCACTTGGTGAAACATTTGTCCACCTAGAACCGCACGACTACATCGCCGCCGGTCTATCTGATAATCAAGTAACTTATACAGTATACTCCGGATTTGGACTCGATAAACCACTGAATAATGAAAAATAAGATCCTTATCTACTGTCAATTATAACTCCTTGATTTTAGGCCTGAATTAGTAGTGAATACTAGATCTTATCGGTGTAATAGTTACAAACCTGAAAAGCTTAGTGACTCTTCTAGTCAGATCTTAGCCTACTATTCTTCTCAAAACAAAACAAAACAAAACAAAAAAAAGAAAAAGAAAATGCAATCGATGTGGGCCATTACTATATTATCTTTGTCTAGTCATATAAGAATTCCTAGCAAATCTGCGAAATGATTTCAATAAGATAATGAGACTCGCCATATATCGTCCACTGAGAGGGAAAATGAGTAACGTTCGATTAATTAGGGTTCCCCTGGGCACGGGCCGGGGAGTCTCCCAGAGTAAATCAACTCTATCAAAATTCAAGCCTCCATACGGCTATCGCCCATCCACGAGCGTTCATCATATTTTGATTTTCGTCAAATATGCCTTTGGCAGATGCGGTTCAAGGTTTCATTGCGTAGATTGGAACCATTGGGGCCCTTCTGTAAATCCAGCTTGTGAAGAATATTTCGAGTCATGCCATGCAATGGTACCAGAGCCACGGGATCCAATTTACGCCTGCCAGATGAATGTCAAGTACGGAGAGCATGAACGACATCGATTAAACGGATGCAAAGAAAGACAAACCCAACTGCGAGAGGCTAACACCTGTAGGTGTCCTGGACACAAAGCATTGGGTACGTATCGTCTACTACCCGAGGCTCCATTTCCTGATGGAATAGAAGATGTCACTTTGGCGCTATAATGGACAAAGGCCAACGTTCATCACTACGGAGGTGATGCAGACGGCATTTTTGCCATTGGTCAAAGTGCGGGTGGGGGACATCTGGCCATGGCGTTATTTTCTGGCCGATTACAACAACAGAAGGCGATTCCTAGGGGGGGCTATGCTGCAAAGTGCAGCTCTACATTATGATCTGTCGCAGGAATCACGCCGGCTGAGTATGATTGATTACTATGCTACGCACGACTTGGACCGGATTATGGCACAGTCTGCGATGGGGTTGTTCAGTGAGCTGGTCACCGCGGAGACCATGATGCCAATGTGATTCGTGACGAGTGGGGAATTTGACTCCGAAGAGTGTGTGCAAGGGAACCTGAAACTCCTGCATGCCTTTTCAGAACGGATGGAATATCTTCCAGAGTATCAATTTCTGCAAGGACATCATCATGTTAGCTATTGTTTGTCAAATGGATTAAAGAGGGATGAACTTGGCCCGAGAATCGTGAAGTGGGTCAGAGAATGTTTGGCTAGAGACTCACTTGGTTAGATATTCAGTCCATTCCAGCACGACTAACAAGAACGATGCTTCCTTAGAAAAATATATCTGGTTGGTCTCCCATCGTTGGGTCCTCCCTGTTTGGTTTCGGTAGCATCTGTATGTTCATCTCCAGTTACATGTACGTGATCGACACGAATGAGATCTATGCTGCCTCGGCATTGGGGTTCATGACTGTGACACGATACTGCGCTGCGGGTGGCATGACTGTCGTCGGGGTTCCCTTCTATACTAACGTTGGGGTACAATGCACGTTGACGATCTTGGGTATCATTAGTGCTGTAATGGTGCCGGTGCCCTATATATTTTGAAAATGTGGGAAGGTTATTCGTGGATGGAGCCGTTATGCTGTTTGAGTCATGGCTTCCTCATGTTATGACATGTGCTAAAGACGGTGCTATAGTCTGTCAGCTCTGGATGAGATGAGCATCTCCGCACTATGGACAAAGGAGGGCAGGGGTCACAAGTAATGGAAGTCACGACGACACAAGACAAAAACTATATTAATGGAAATAGTATATATTAATTGACCAGACATTAAGCTAATCCGATGCCATGCTGAAAAGCTCGAAATAAAATCACACAAATGAGTTAGGAAAACAACGCCATCACCGCTTCACCAATAGTAGTATCTCAGGCCATAAATCCCCAGTACCAAGATCCCCTCTCGGAAACCTCCATGACAACAATCTATTAACCAGCAAAATCAGACCAATTAGACCTTAACCTCCATAACACCATTGTAGTAACAGCGCTTAAGAACACCTTCCTGGGGGTTTTCCTTGCACTCCCACTTGCTGCCCGGGGCAGTCTCGCTGAACGACGCCTGGCCTATCTCCTTGATCGGGCCAGAAACCCGCTCGAGCTCGATTGTGAATTTGTCGAATTCCTTGACTCCGCCCGAAAGCCGGATGTAGTAGTTGTTGCCGTTGCAACGGGCATTCGAGGGGGGGATTGAGTTGGTGGACCTGCGTATAGGGACTTAGTATAAGCAGGATATCAGCGGAGGATTGCTGGCACTCACCACATAACAGTGCAGTTAGTTGGGGTGTCATCGGGGTAATTTGGGTCGGTGAGAGTAAATCGGATGTTAGAATCGCCGAGCTTGGAGGCGTTCGCTGTCAACCCAGAGATTTTCAAGGACTCGCTTCGGATGTTGGCGGGGCTGGCCAGTGCAGTGCTGGCGGCCAAAAGGAGAGAAATGGCAGTGAACTTCATTGTGAGTGAGTGGATTGGAATGTTGTATCTAAGATAGGTTTAGAGAGATGTGATGAAAGTGGCTTTGAACTGCTTCGGATGTCTTGAGGTCTTTAACTTGTTAGATGAGATATTGAATTCCTGCTAGCAAAGGACAACCTTATATAGTTCTGACGACTTTAGCTACTCGTGTTCCTGAACCACCTTTTGATATTCCATAAATAGATAATGTTAACCCAAAGCTGGGGTATCTCATTAAGGCCAGCCAATATAGTTCGTATCCTGAAACAACTCACGCCAAGAGGAGGCTGAGTAGGGCTGGGTATGCTCAATAGGGTTGACTCTTGAACGATCTGGGGCTGGCCCAATTGCCGATCATTCCATTCTGGGGCGACTGGACATCTCTCAGCTATTTTAAGTGCCGTTCTGCAAGGCCTCCCATCTCGGCTAATACTACACCAATCAATCCATCTACAGCAGGTTGGCTAACATCCAGGCTATAATTGTAAAAGCCTACTGGCTCCTATAAACACATGTTTCTGGAAAACGTCATCATTGGCTATGCGTGATTTCACTGAGTATTTGGGTCTGGCATTGGCTGCAATATTGGACTTCAGTGTAAAGGTATGGGGTATCTCATTTCTGGGTGCTAGATTGTGCTTTCAGATCTAGGGCACCCACTATGCGTGTTCATCAAGATTAATCTTGTGCTTAATTGTTGAACTGCTTTACTATGACAACCTCACTTTACCAAGGTGACTAGAATCATGAGAGTTCGCATGGTTGCTGAGGCTCCTTAGCCCTAGATTATTGATTATGGCGCCATATAGGCCACTGCAGCCTTGAGACGCCTGTGCATTGTTCGAAATGCGCAGTATGGCTCGGTTGAGTGTTTTCTAAGCCACGTGGTGCTATATATATTTCACAATGACAGGTATGGATTAGGATTCACTGCGCACAATACGACGCTTTTCCACGCAACATTCAAGACACTTGTGACTGGTCTCCCTTGCCTTCTTCCCACAGACTCTGAAATCAATGAGGCCGCCGACATATTCCAGGTATATATGGGAAGAAGAGTTGTTGCGGTCGGTCAACACTATGCCATTAAGGTCGGGAAACAGGTGGAACTACTGGGAGGAGAGAACATGTTGTTTATTTCTCAGACTACCAACATTTCAGTCCCACGAGTCTACGCTCTTTACTCGGACTCAGCCACGAGTGTGAATGACGCTATTATGGAGCTGGTTCCGGGCGAAAATTTACTATCGATGTGGCCGAAACTAAGCCCATCTGAAAAGGACTTTGTGCTCACTACACTACATAATTACTTCACTGAGCTATGACAGCTACCATCACCAAATTAATACGGTAGTCTAGGCTGTTAACCGTTTCTTGACAATAAATTCTGGGCGAGGGTTCCTATACCAGTAACCAATGGCCCCTTTGCTTCCGAAAATGCGTTGGTCCAGGGAATGGTGCAAAAATATCTTCAAGACAGCGGGCCACTTTATAGAGCAGAGTCCTTTCGCCAGTGTCTTCCACGTGTCCTTGGTGGTCACGGTCCAATGTTCACCCATGGTGACTTTCAGAGAATGAATATACTGATTCAGAGGGACTCGGGGGACTCGGGGCATGCCGATGGACTTGAGACCTCTCCCCGACTAAAACTCACTCTTATCAACTGGGAGAGATAGGGGTGGTATCCAACCTACTGGGAGTATTGCTATGCCCTTTGCGCAATCCGATGGGATGCTGACTGGTGTCTTCAGGTTGAAAAAGTTTTGAAACCCTTTATTCCTCAAGTTTTATGGTTTCGAACTGTTCGTCTAGAAATGTGGTCTTGATGTCCTTCATAGGGAAGGTGGCGGGGTTTTACAGGTATTCTAGAAGATGCTAGACCTCAACTGTAGTTTAGATATTTTCCTGGCTAAACTACCTTAACAAAATGCTTTGGTAATTCGACTCGCGTTCGGCCTCTTACTTCATGATTCCGCGAACAGAAACTTTTCATTCGAAATACCAGCCCGTATCTCTTGCGTTTTGAACCGTTTGTCCATGGCATTAGATCCAAAATCTCACGTATAAATCAAACAGGAACATCTGTCTGGTTCACCATTTCAAGCACCGTGAAACGAATGCGACCTTCATTCGGAACACTGTATGGCAATGCTCCAACCGACGTCGCATCGTCCACACCCTCACCTGTTTTTTCACCGCGCAATGACCATGCAATAATACCCTTTTGCTTGCCATCTGGCCCGTACGCCAACAGAGTGCATTTGTCCCCATTGCGCATGGGTCCCTCTCGGTCCTTGTCGCGAAACTCGAATAGTGTTGCCTCGTGCTTGGGTCCAGCAGCCAACACCGTTACCTCTTTCCCACTTTCGTTGAGTATAATGGCGCGTAGCCACAGGCCCCTTTTGCGGTTGAAGATATGGTATCGTTTTCCGTATTGTAGCTATTTTGCTGGATTAGTATATACGTATATATAGGTATCATAGGAAACGCACAGCTGGAGCTTGGTTCAACAGGGTTTCAACTTCAACGTCAAACACATCCTCGCTATTGTTGTCTTCAAATGCCAATCCAGGAAGACCAGCATCGTACAGCGCCTGGATCGAGGAGGGAATTTGAGACACTAATTCGATTAGCTGTGAACCTCTCCATCAGGGTTGTACTTACTGGCCCAGAAGTTTCCTTGTAAAGCTTTCACGGTCGCCACGGGGTCCTTCGCAAACACTTTAGCGTACCATAGGGCGACTTCCTGGCCTGTGAAGGTTAGTATACGTTTGTACAAATAGCCTATAGGGCCCCATACGAATTCTCCACGCGTGATGGAGTGATAAATACTCTGGCTTCTTCTCGTCTGCGCGTTGCCATGTGTCAAGGCCAAGCCGGAAGCTGACCGTTTCATTCCTCCTAGTGATTTCAGCGAGTTTGTTGAACTTGTTTGGGATATCTTCGTAGCCGGGTATCCGGCCGATGAAATCGCCCAGAGGGATCACGTCTTCTTGCTAGAGGATATTAGCACCTGAGATACCTAATTTCCCGTTGGATCAACCGAAATACCTTGATGACACGCCAGTTTTGGAACGGAGCGACCGTAGGACACCAGGCAGGAGGGCTAGAATATATTATTAGCACATATTTCAGGTAATCAAGGTAAACAAAAGGGTGACTTGCTTGTTGCAAAGAAGGGTATCACCCCCCTGGGCTTGCCATGAGATAGAACTCTGCATACTGCGCCTGGAATCGCTGTTCTGTGCCGACTGTCCATTCTCCTGACTGTAACCGACACTACCAGACACAAACTTGGATGAGAATGAGGCACTAGCTGAGATCTTCATCTGCTTTGTAGCTTCGCTTTCGCTACTTGTACCCAACGTGCTAAACTTTTCCGATGAAAACAGTCTCCCACCGAGTTCGACGCGGGTAGCGAAAAAGTGGCCTGTTGGGCTGTGTCAATATCACATAATATTTTTGAAATATGGCGGTGGGTATATCCATACCGTATTTATGGTGAAAGGCAATCAGAGAGTTGACATCCTTGACCCTCATGAGATCCTCGCTACATTCATCTGATAGTGCCAAACTGTACTCATCCAAATGCAACACCACCCGAGGGAACTAAGTATACCAGATTAAATGAGACCTCGGAGTGTATATAATTGCATGAGAACTTACATTGTAGGTGATGTTCATCACGCTACTTTCCGCGGTACTCTGCTTGCTCAATGCACTAGTTTCACTCGAGGAGAAACCGGCACTGACAGCAGCACTGAATCCAAACGCTCCTCCTTCACTAGGAACTGTTAGCATATTCCACGTGGGGCTATAGGGAGAATATAATTCAAATATGGATATCAAGCATACATAGAAGCTTCAGCCTCAATGGAGGAAAAGGAGCTGCGAGCCATGGCCGTTGCCACGGACGATTTAGTCTCAAACGTATCCACGTACGAATCATCCGCCACAACAAACCGGGGGATATGGAATTGTTGCTGTTAAATTAGCATCGTTCTATCATCATAGTCTTTATCAAAAGGAAATCAGAATTTACCTCGACCTTAACCTCTGAATGCGAAATTTCATGTGGCTCGAATTTTCTCGGCTTCAACACAAAGGCTACACCAGTTAGACCATATCCAATTATAATAGGTATAACCTTTATTTTACATACCACTGTATGGTGCGCGTTCAATCCGACGGAACTTGAGCTTTTTGGTTCCATCCAATGCTCGGCCCAGATTGGAAAACACCAATCGAGAAGCGCTTGTGAGGCTATTGTTGCGGATGACAATGTTCCATTCCTTCTCTGACATATCGGCGGGGTTGCTAGAATAGTCAGTAAATCCAAGAAGTTTAATCAACTGATCATAAAGCCATACGTAGCATCTTCGCTAGCCTCCGCTACCCAGTCAGCTTTGTTGAAGGAACTGGTGAGCTGATCCAAGGATGCTTTGAGCAATTCCGGTTTATCCTACATGGCCCGGTCAATATATAATGATGTAAGCAGTGTGTTGGGAACTCACGCTGAGTTTGAGATTGAGTTCTTTCTTAATAGTTTCCTTGACTTCATCACTCAAGCCAGTGGTAGTCTTTTTGCTCTTCAGGTAGACGTAGACATTGAAGATTTTCGTTTTCTTATCGTCGCTCTCCTTCTCCTAGAACTAGTGAGCATTTTTCAAATTCCAAAGAATAGCTAGGACCAGCAACAAACCTTTCCTCCCTCAGATAGGATATCCACATAATCTGAGAAGGACGAAGCATCGTTGACCAGAGCTCCGGTCGGTGAGCAGAACGAACATCCGACCCTATGATACCATCAGCACAATCCAATACACAGACACAGGAAACATACTTGCTGGCATCCAAGCCACCGTTCTCAATAAGCACCGACCGCACGTCGGAAAGCTTCTTGCTACTAATGTCAAACTCTTTCAAAGGAACACAGTTCGTCCTCTTGACCGAGTCATCTTTGGCGTTGAAGAGGTTGACGTCTAGGCGGATGGTAGCCATGATTTCAATTCCAGAGTATGAAAGAATTGACAGCCGGGGTTGGAGATTAGGAGGAGAGAAATTTTACCACTGAATGAGACTACCCTGGATTTAAATGTTTTGGTTTTAGCTCAGAGCTGGCAAAATGACATTAGTTAGCACCCCACACTCTTCAGCTGTGAATTAGGTACGTAGTGAGCAAACCACAGCTGAACTCCATGATCGACATATTTAGAGCAGCTGATTGGTTTTGCTAAGACGCAAATCGAACGCCAGTGCCAAAAGGTGCTAAAGGGATGAGCTGTCTGAACTCTACACGATCCACTCCGGTTTATGAGATTATGATAGGTGGAATCCCCCATTCTATACTTTTGGTGGCTTATCGCGGGCTCATTGCTCCCACAACACTGGATTAAAAGCGATCCCGATTGTGCTAGTCCTTCCAATCCTAAGTGCATGTCCTCTTCCCTTGTTGTTTCCCGTCTCTTTTATTTTGTTGCTCAATTGTCCCCAAAACCAGTCTTTTTATTGCTGTTTCTTCATGAGAGATAGAGCGCATCCTCTTGCTCATAGTGTCTGCTCTCTCTGTCTCTCACTACAAAAGTATTTGTCAAAAGTGGCCCCAGAAGATGCGACATTTATCATTTTGTTATGCATATGTGTATATCTGCATGGTAGAAGGAGAGATATTCTGTTGGAGGATTATTCCGGCTGGCAGCCCTGATTGGGTCGACTGGCTAGATGTTCCGATCGCTTACCTAAGTGGACCCGACAATCTTCAGCTTTTGTTTTGTTCTTGACTCAGATAGGCTTAGTAGCAAATGATCACTCAGGACATTTCAAGCGCTCAATTATCATGATCAAATTATCATGATCACGATTCACGATATAACATGTTCAAGATCTTCTAATATCAAATAAGAAAACGTTGTAAATAGAAATCTCTTAATTAAAGGGGAGCACTCTGAGATTGGTGGTATCAGGTATATTCCTCTGTTTTACATACTAGAAATATATTTTATAGAACTACAACGAGAATGGAGTCTCCCAGGTTATACTAAGTAAATATAAGCATATGGATTGCCACTAGATTACTAGGTTAAACGGTGTCCCGCATTTGGAATTTCGATACCTTAGGACTGGGTCTACTTGAGATCGTTTTATTTTGATGCCTACAAGGCTACAGTATCTACGCTGGATAAGTATTACAAAGTAAGGAGTATATCTCGTTGCCTGAAGTCGCCAAATGCCACTGGGATGTCGTGCCACACATTCAACGTCCTCTTGGGCAAAGGTATTTAAGCCGTAGGTTTTCCCTCTCAATCCACATGCAGCACACCGTCTCTTCTTTTGTATCTCATTTTATCAAATCAAGCACAATGACCGCTCCCAACTACACCATCCGTCCCGTCGAACTATCCGACATTCCTGCGCTGGGTGACCTTCTGTACACCTCCAAGCTGGCTCTAACTATCAACCGCCTTTTGTTCAGGAACTGGCCCAATGAAGCTGTCCAACGGCAAAACTACCTCGGTGCATTGGAAGCATCGAGGTGGATTCGCCCGAATCTCGGACTGTAGTTGACAACGTCACCGGTGAAGTCATCGGCCATCTCGCTCTTAACCGCCACCGACCGGTAGAGAAACTGGAACAGTCCCATGGGCGGACCAAAACGCCGGATCTCCCAGACTTCTTCGCCCCTGAAGTCGCGACGGCGGTGTTGGAAGCAGTTGCCACGATTAAAGAAGAAGTAAGGACCACCGACCGCTATGGTAAGCATCTTTCTTCTTTCGTTTTCTGATTGTCCCCCCAGACAGTAGCTAATATGCTTTTTCCTTTGTCAGAGATTACATACATAGTTGTCAAGTCTGAATACCGTCATCGCGGTATTGGAAAGAATTTGATGGACTATGTGTTCAATAAGGCACGGTCTGCGGGCGTACCTGTTGTCGTTAACGCCGAGCCGCAGATCTATGGGTTTTTCAAGACATATGGCTTCCAAGATACGAAGCATGTGGATTTCGACCTCATTCAATGGGCTCCGCCACACTCGGGCTTTGGCATTTTCAGGCTGGCCGGGTTAATATGGCACCCTTGAGTTGAATGGTATTTTCCCGGTCAATTGGTATCGGTCGTGACGCAAGATATTTGCAACATGACAATCGGGATATCGGAAAGATGGGTAGTGCTCTTGGTTGCATTTCTCTAGACCGCTATAGCAAGATGGCCTTCTGACTCAATTTCCTCGGCCCTCATACTCTTGGCTTCGATCTCAAGCCTTCGTGCCAAGTATCACTAAGCCCTACCAGAGCGGAACAATAATTCTCCCGGGGGATGGGAGGTTGTTAAGCGTACTGAACAGGAACTGTTAACTTGTATCCTTAAGCCGTCTTCTATGCATATTAGATGTCTCTGTATATGCCAATTTTGGCCTAAAGATTAGGAACATCGTTGGAATACTTCTCCTCTAAGACCGAACTCGGGCTCATTTCAGTTCCGTTCCGTGAGTGGTGACTGGTCAGCTTACGTATAGGAATAAGTATGGAGTGTCGATCGGAACAAAGTTCCATCTTATGTGTTGTTTTTTTACCCCTCAGCCCTGAGCCCTGAAGCCCTCCGCCCCTCCATGAGAACACTCATAGAGGCTCTACCCCTCTTCCTGCAAGCCCCTGGAAGTGGTTGAATGGCGTGAGAATGGCTCCATCTTTGCCTTGTGGGGGCTCAGCTGAGCAGCGGAGACCACTCTCGATCCAATGAAAGAGGATACCCATGAGAAGGTGGATATCGTTGTGGCCCAGCAGTGGATACAACCGTATCTCACCGCAACGATCGAAGTTTGAGCTGATTGCCGATCGGGTTGGTTAGGGGGCTTTGGAATTAATCTAAATAGCCCGTCTGTCTCTCCTCCTCGCCTTCTCTTTTTCTCTCTCATTCATCACATCTTTTTCTGATTTTTCCCAAATAGACCACTCTCATCCAAACAAAATGACTTGGTTCGGTGTGTTGTCCTTGCTCCCAGTCTCCTCTCGCTCTAAATGATATACTGACTGGAATTGCTGTCCTCTAGGCGACGATCACGATAACGCCCGCGCCCACCAGGAGGTCAACGGCACCGAAGGCCACCAGGGACACTGGTCTCACCAGCTCATCGGCGGTGCCGCCGCTTACGAGGCCATGAAGGCCTACAACGATCACGAGGAGAAGAACGGTATTGTCACCAATTCTCTTTCAGTCAATTTGTTCACATAGGCTGATTCTATTCTTCCCGACTCTAGGAAAGCCCCAGAGCCATGCCAAGGCTAAGGAGATCGGTGCTGGCTTGGCCGCCGCTGCTGTCGAACGTCTCATCGAGACCAAGGGCCTCGACTTCATTGACAAGGAGAGGGCTAAGCACCATGCCAAGAAAGAGGCTGAGGAGGCGATTGACCGTCACTACTAAGGGTTGACTTTTCCTGTTGACTTTAACCGTCCTTGATGTATATACCATGAATATCATGAATACCGATGAACGATTTTAAGGCGACGTGTTCTTTCTACTGTCTTCCCCGCACCCTAAATCGTAAATGGACGACAGTCTCATTACGCTATCTTCTTAATCGCATTTCGTCTTATTTCGTCGTACTCTGTTCTCTCGATGATTCCTAAGGATGAGTCTCAGGTCAGAACGAATATTGAAGAAATCACAAGGGCTGTGGCCACGTACGTCTGCGGGCTTTACAGAAGTAAGCAAATCCCCTAGCGTATACACCGAGGATTGAGGCCACTAGTGTTCTGCTCTTCTAAATTTCCAGGTTTGAGGTATCTTTGGAAGTGATTAAGGGGCAAGTTAAACATGCATCAACTGGAAGCCCCGCTATGGGGAAAGACGAGCAGCATTGGCGCCACGTGGTTCCGCTTCAGCCTCGGAACATCAGCCAGGAGGTTCAATTCCAGTTACCCCTATAGTCAGTCACCTTTGAATGCTGCTATCGACAGAACGTGTGAGGTGCGATCTCGACTATATAGCTGAACATTTCATGTTCTATGGCCATCTCCTAATGAAACCACTCATGATATACGGGAGAATGAAGAAGATAGGGCTCTCGTTTGCACCTACGATGCGATTCAAGCACTACCTGCATGAGTACAAAAGCTACATGATACTTTACAAGTAGGTTGTAGGATGGGGATGAGCCACAATTAGAATACCCCCATAACCGTCGATGGTCCGCTCTCTTTGCGTAGCCTAAATATATCCCCACAAGACGATTGCTCACACGAGCACGACATCATCATGACCTGTGGCCTAGGGCATAGACATAACCCCATCATAGAGATCATCCCAAAACATCATACCTTCGAGCGTTTCTTCACTTAGCGAGATATTCGCAAAATGCTCTCTCCTGCGTGTCCGGATCCGTCGATGGATGTCTCCAGCTGTCTTCCACCCAATAAAACCAGCCATTTTTATAATCAATTAGCGCAGTGATCTTGTCGTCGTCAACTATACAGTTAGAAGGGGTTAAGTTGTTATGCATGAAGCTGACGTCCTAGTCGATATTACTGCCTGAGAAGATAATAACCCCCTCCATTGGGCTGATATGGCCGCTACTAAGAATATTAGGATCTTGAACCACATGAGAGCGAACCGGATCTCTACCCCTAGGCTTGATAGTGTGTAGCTATCGAAGTACGCCCCGTGCCTGCTGCTTGAACCACTCCTTTTGGCTCTACAAGAGGTAGGGCCATGCAACTGCTAATGCAACCTCGGAGAGCCTTTCTTGGATTAGTACTTGGCGACCACGGATCTGAGATTGTGTAAGAACTACGCGTATACTTAAGAGGTGCAAGAGGAAGCACCTTGCCCGCAAAGTAGATTTCTGGAACTTTGGTATCATTGAGGGTTCCTTTAGCGATGGAGATGGCCCGCACTCCATTAGCATCTGCGTACGAGTAGTCGATCTCTCGTGTGTGGTGATGATTTAACTTGACAATCACATTGCCAAGAGCAAACATATCGCGGCCACCTTCCTCGGCTGGGTATATTCTAACTGATTCGTCACAGAGATCAATTACCGAGTCCTAGTTCTGCCTTAAGATCAGGGATTGTGAGTTGGAGTGCTGGATGTTTGTTCAGCGCTGGCTGTGGCGGTTTATCAGGATCGCCACTCTATACTATATGTTGATATATCTATAGGCATTCATTTTAAAACTCAACCGACCAGGACACTGCCATTTCGAATCAATGAATTTCTAAAATTGCTAGCTTCCAAAAATATCAGTTCATATGGGGGGGTTAGAGTGTATTTCCCGTTCTCATAAGAGCCTTCTCAGCTCATTGATAACACTCTACCGGGTCTTCGTGCTCTCCGGTGGTTCATGTACCTCGTGAACACCCTGACTGGGCGGACTCTATGGCAACTCACTCAGCTCACCCTGGGGCGAAGGTTCTGGCTTTTTGTAATGGCCCGGGGACGGTTGTGAATCTGAACCGGGTCCAGACTGTTTCATTTGTCGTCGACGCCAAAGCAAACACCAAATCAAAGCACTAATCAGAGCCACACCAGCAACACAACCAACAACAAGACCAGCAATTGTGCCTTTATGGTCATCACCGGAGCTGGACACATAGTCAGACGTAGTTGTTTCGGACGTAGGAGGCACGGATGCAAGTGTGGACGTCGAAGCTGACGTTGAAGTTGCTGTCTGGGGGTACGTGAAAGTCGTGGACGAGATAGCTATACCGAGTCGTTATCAGAGCTTTCAACCAGAATATGATATCTGTAACAACTTACTTTGCGCTATTGGATTCAAAATCGTCCGGGAAACTCCCTCGGGTTGCCTTGCGCACCCGACACTGTTATTATATTCCTTTTCCGATGTCCAAAACCCCTGGTCTTCTCCCTTGCAGCAGAAAAGACCGTAATGTTCGTACATGGCCCATCCTGCGTTGGCGCAATGAGCTATCCGGAAAAGAGGCTCGCGACAATCTGCCTCGTTCGGGCAACAGATTGGATTTTTGTTGTTATCTGATACCATGCAGGTGCTTTCTGATGGACAGCAGGCAACGAAGCCATCCCAAGTGACCCTGCATTGCTTAGTGCGCTCGGGGCAGCTGCCGTTCACACGAAGGGAGTATCCAAACGGAGGATCGTAAGACACCATTATCGAGAGATGAAAAGGAAGTGGAAGAGATGAAAAGAGAAACAACTACAATCCCACAGTATGATATCGCTAGAGGGCTCTTAGCTGTTTCATGAATTCAAGACAGAGTATCTTCACGTTCAATACGAATATTGTCATCGACACACGAGGTTGAAAAAGGGTGAGAATGACTAGCAAAATCACGTCTTGCAAGGCTAGATGCGGCCCCCAGGCTGGAAGTAACACCAGGACGAAGAGCCACATCTACAAAAGGACGTGTATCCAACCTGGCCCGTATTCCTGTCCCAAATATGCTGCTTGTGCCAGCAAAGCAGCCAGTTTGTCTAGGAACAAATCTCATAACTTGCACGATGATTAGGTGAGGCTGTAGGCGGATTTAAGAAACGCCAGTCGTAATCTATATATTTTTTGGTCATAGATTCACCCTTGGTGCTGAGGTAAACCCTCACACGTTGGGTACTTGCATAGTTGCCTGTAAGGATACCCTCGCTGTTCCCCTTGGCGCTTGCTATCTGATTGGCAACGTAGCATTTTATTAGCCTGAGAAGTTGCCCGACTGATCTTCCTAGCCAGCAATATATTTCAGTACATATCTCTAATAATAAATCGAATCTTAGGTTATATAGTAAATTCTAATCTTTTGGTTTTATTTTCCCCTCCCACCTACGCCCGCTCCTCTGCTCGAATCAATGGGTGAAATCGCCTATATCGCTATATTTTCTTTTTATTATTCTAGGGAACGAGTCAACACGTCGATATACCTACTAGCTGGTATGTAGGGGCCTGTTTGGCTCCCTGGAATGCTACCGAGGTGATCTACCGCCGCGAGCTTGAGCCCCTGAATCCTTCTGTTAGGCCTCTATAGTATAGAATCATCTATACGGAGTATTCTATAGGGCTACTGCTACTATTAGCCTCTACCCTAGAAACCATTACTTTTGGACATCACCTCTTACTGATACATACCTTGGAGACCTGCCTATCTATCTGGATGCCTTCCCAATACCAATCTTCAAGAGTTCCATGACATGAGATCTAGAATTACAGTCATTCTTTACAGTTAATATACACACTATACAGGCAGGCTCGTCTTTCAAAATTCGCGAAAGTGTCGAAGGCACTCTTAGTCACTGTTGTTGTATAGGACTATGAGCAAATAATTATTAGCGATCACATCTACGGAGTACCACTGGCGGGGTTGCAGTTCGTTGTACTCTATTGCAGCCAGTGACAATGAACAGGGACATCTAATTTACGATCGTCAAATGCAAATATGCTCACCTCCTCTTTCGATAGAACATCTATTATTAGGTGATGATAGCGGACAACCTTCGATTTGTCTTTCATGACGACGACTAACAGAATGTCAACCCCAAGATTCACCATGCTCTGGGTGAAGATCCTGATCCAAATAGCACCATACCGGCGCAATATATCACTTAAGCATCTGATAAACCATCTTTAACCAACCATGGTCGAAGCACAAGAACCGCTCAAGAGCCTCCTCTAGCATATGTAGCCTTATGCTACATAGGTCCCGCAGCAACTCCTCTCTCCGTACGAGCCGCAGACAAAAGGAAGAACCGATATAAGCCCTCACGCACATATCAACCAACACCTCGATCTCCATGTGCGGGACTCCGAATGCAGACTCTCAAGAGATATACAGAGGCTAAATGATGGACTTCATTATACAGCCTATTCTTCATGTATTTCAAATCATCCTTCTCAATCTCCATGAGATCAGTAATATATTATGGGTCTAAATCTTGGCAAAATCATACTCACTATGTGCGCCTTACAAATTTCCAGACAATGGATTGGTTTACGTTTGTAATTGGGCGCCGAACGGCGCCTTGAGGGCTTTGATGTTGTTTCAAAAGCTCACATGCGCATCCGGGCAAGTCCGCACCATACCCTGTCCGTGGGAGGTGAGGGTATTATGTTATCTCTACCCGACATGGCTTCCGTATAAGGCCATGCTTCATTCTATACGAGAGTATAAATGTGACAGGAAGGGAAGTCTACCCTGGAAGGGCTATCGTTCACATTATCTGGATAGATGACAGTCATAGAAGACGCGATACAGTGGACTCAACAATGTCGATCTTATAAATGCCGATCGTATCTGTCGATCTCGCTGCTAAACCACGGCTAACTTACGCCCGATGCTAATGCTAAGATGAAGATCGTGGAGAAGTCTTCCATGACTCGCTAATGATACGGGGTATATTTCTGTGGCCTGATGGCAATACCAGCTTATAGTGTGTACTAGAATATATTCTGAGCTCTTCCTATAGGAGTATGAAACGACGCACAACAATGCGATCTAACCAGTCATATCATCTGATACAACCATAGACACACATACTTTCTATAATGTAGCCGCTGGCAATTCCCGAACAACGACCTATTTCACAGGAACTTCGTTTGGATGTGGACTAACTAACCAAATTCAGCTACAGGCAGTAAGATAATCGAGACATGGCATGAACCTGTAGTGCACTTGTGTAGAGTAGTTAGAACTCATCACCAAGACTTTGACGGACAACGTTCCTATGAGAATAGAACTGTGGCATAGTCTCCAAAAGTGAGATTCGACGAACACTATACTTTTGCAAAACGACTGATTCTAAGGATTATGCCATATATGGGCACTTCACTCGCATTCCAACAGCCCTCCCACATTCCATCAGAAATCTGAGGATACCACCATCCAGGTCCCCAGAAATACTACATCTTCGTAGCCATCTATCTTATGGCACCTAGATTCATCAATCACCTCAATATCATAGCATATCTACACAGTCCCACACTACCACCAAGAAAACGATCAAGATCGATGACACCTGAGCTCAGCTCAGCCCAACCGTCCAGACCAGTCAGTCATCAGTCCGATGCAAGCATCATGCATACCCCCTACCTTACGACATCTGCACCACCCTCCCAATAAGAATATGACACCCATCTCTTCCAATGTAAGGACTCTGTTCTATTCTAAGAATGGAACTATGCACAGCACATTTACCTATCCAGAAACACCCCTCCATACCTCACCTCAACCACAACCAACCCCTACCGACATCCAATCCAATACATACACCACCAGTCCAGCCCCTCCTTCTAACAAGAACGTGCCATCCCAGACCCCTCCAAAAGAAACAGAAGTTAAAAACAAAAGCTTGGCAGAAGTTCGAACCCCCCTTACGTGAACCGCCCCTTTCCAGACCCCAAGAGCGCCCCCCTTTTTCCCCCTTTTATTCTAGGTTCCCCGAATCTAGAAGTTTTAACTTTATCTTTTCGAACTGCCGAGCACGAGCTGATCTGACTTTTTGTTTTTAATTTCAGAGGGCCTGATTCTGCAGCCGGGGCCCATTTTTCTACGGTTATGGTGTCGTCAATGCGTAACCAAGCAAGTGCCGGGATTGAGAAGAAGAAGTTTGGGAGGGGGTCCACTTTTCCCCTGAAGGAGTTTGATCGGTTGTACCTGAGGAACCGGAATTTGGTGGTTCCACTGGTGAAACGAGCAGCTTTTTTGTCCCTCGCGTGAACCATGGGTTTGGTGGTACTACTACTCTGGGTTTTCTTTTTGTGAGGGAGAGACTACCTATGTAGTTGCCTATACTTAGGACTTTTGTAATATGTAGTGGAGATTGAGAGGATATTATTAGGAAAATAGTGTAATTATTTTGTCTACCTACTCCGTAGTTTTGAGAAATAGTCTCATGGTCCGTTCTCGGTGATGTTCGCTTAGGAACCCGAAGTGATCCGCTCTATCCTATCCACATTGATCAAGAAGAAAATATGTACGTAGGGTAAGCCGGAAAAACAATGGATAAACCATCCATTAGGAAAACTAACTGGGTTGTTCCGGGGAAACCTTTTCCAAGGGAACACAATACATGAAACACTGGCGGGGTGTTGTTGCTATATTGAGAAACAAAGATAGGGTAAGGGTTTGTCGAAAGAAAAAATTCTGACCCGGCGGAACTTCCTCTTCAGCCACACAGCCACAGCCGCTGCCGCTGCTCCACACAACCGCAGGCCACATTGCTCAAGCCTCCTATTGTGAAGCCTCCACCATAGCAGTCCAGCTACTCGGCCCAAAGCGCTCGTAGAACTCACCGAAAAACTCAGTAATGAAAAGGTACGCCGCCCTATGACGTAGTTCGTACACCAGGGAGCGCAAGTGTTCCAGCGGTACCGAGTGTATCATATATCCACATCGGGCCCGATCGTAATGGAGTTGGCGGAGGCGACACTGGACTTCATTCGACCGATAGCGAGAATAAGGTTCCTCGCAAGTCAGGATCAGATCGGGTCCTATATTAGCCAGGGGCGCATCTGGTGGTGTTCCTGGGTTTTGGATGACCTGACAATCCTCAAGAAGATCAATATCGAGTTTTTCTTTCCCTCTCCTTCTCGGACATGTGTGGTACGGTTCTGATTGGGTATGGGAGAGAAGGTTTCTTTGCTTTTACTGATCGGCAGGGGTGGGGACAAGGTATCTCACCAATCGGTTCCCTAAAAGCCCCGGCGTGCTTTTGATGTGATGTTGTAAGCTGGCCAGGTACTCGACAGCTTCGGACGAGGAGAGGTTCGGAGTCTCGTCGAGAAAGATGCCTCCCACGCCCAGACCAGTTCTCTCGTAATCATCAGCCCAGGTGGCATATGTCTGGACCTCTTCCAAGGCTTCCGGGAGGGGCTTCTTGCAGTAGTTAATGGCGATGTAACCTACGGTGACCACGTTCGCATAACGATTCAATCGAGCGATTTCGCGCACGTAGTTGGCATCGGGCAATGGAGAGGCTCCCGGTCCACTGTTGGGATTGACAATGACCAGAAAATGCAAGTCGGGATTAGCGGATATACTACAGGCACTGTATTAGATTTGTTTTTCCTTTTTCTTTTTCTTTTTCCCCCCTCGGTGATTTTTTGTATTTTTTTTTTATTTTTTTTATTTTTTTGGCACGCCAACGGGAGAGGCGTTCACGCGCGCGGTGGAGGTCGAAATGACGGGAGAAAAAAAGGGCAAGGAAAAAGGAAATCCTTACGAGTCATAGAGTGGATCCCAGGTTGTTGGCGACAGTGGATAAATATACAGAGGGACAATAATGCCTGATGGAGGTGGCGTCTGCATTGTCGTTGGCGAGGTTTCGCTTTGCTCTGGTTTCTTTTTCTGTCGGTCGCTCAGTCGCATTTTGATCCTTTTTATAGGATCCCACGCCTGCAACGCCTGCATTTCCTCGCAGCGTAGCAACTCAATTGAGGGAGGTGGGATTACTCAATTGTGCTGACCGTGTCCCTCGTCAGTCCAGAAGCCACTTTGATTCCAAATCAAGGCGGGATCCTGGTAGTAGTTGGAGCGAAATGTGGTATTTAAAGTTGACGCCAGCCAACTCAGCCATGGCGCGGGTGGAGTCTTCGAGCAGCATTAGTTCACGGATCTATAAATTAGAACCTCTTGGTACTTCTGCTCTCGACGAATCGCTACGATCAACATACCTCCGCAGCATGTGTCGACTGGAAAATTTATACACCGTATAATATATGCAGGGCTACAGAACATATCGAAGAATGATACGAATTCCGATGACTATCGGTGATCATCGCAATGACAGATCACGTCGTGTCGGTACAACATGCTAGACAGAGTTTTCATTAAGCTTCAAAGATTCCCGTAGATAACCTCCGAGAGGCTTGCGATCATCAGGCAACCTGCACGATTGATCTTGTCACCTCTGCGGCTTATCCTTTCTCTGTGTCCACTGTCAACCATGAGTTGTAGCGATATACGATATGTTCAGTGTATACTTTCTCCTGGTCCAAGTGCTGTCAACTTCTCCTTCCGAGTCAGAACGCATGACTCGAACTTTCTTTTTCTTTCTTTCTTTCTTCCTTTCTTTTTTTTTTTCCTTTTTTTTCCTTCGTTTCTTCCTTTTTAATAGCGTCAAATTATCGGCGATGTCGCTCTCAGGTGCCGTCCGGTGCACCCGGCAAAGCGGGTGACTAGCACATACTTACCCCCCCCCCCAGCCAAAATGGCCATGAAAATCATGTCCCACATAAAGCAATGTAACCGACATCATGTTGGAAGGTTTGAGGTCTGCTGAATCGCCATTTTAGATTGTTCTTTCACTAGCTGCGATCGGGGAGGATCCGCCGACTACTTCAATAGTGCTCAAATCCTCAGTTGGTGTGATCAAAGAGACAAAAATCTCGGCTGCTGCCCGAAGCAGAGACCGGTCGGTTCAAGTCCTCGTCGAGTTAAGATCCAAAAAGCCAAGTTGTGGAAGTGATCAGCGTCTGCTAGCCGAGTCCGGTTCGGATCTATTTAGATCGGTCAGCATCCGTTCTTTCTCGTGGTGGAGAAAAGCCGAGAACTAAGAACTTTTTCACTCACAACCGTGGATCTGATGTATATACTTGATCGTAGAATCTTCGGAAGAGTATCAGAACAGTGGAGTGCTCTCAGATTGTCTCAGAAAGTAAAATCTTTTTCCAGAAAATAACCACTATCGAATGTAGGGCAACAACTCCGCCAGCCATCCGTGCACCAGCCCGATATCCCCTGGAAGGGTAGAGCAATTGTAAATTGGACAGACCAATTCGAGAAAAAGACAGTCTGAGCCACGTTCTTCTGACGACAGGTGACTCAGCACGCGCAATGGCAGTGTGATGTTTTTCATGATTTCTGGTTTCCCTAGCATCGTTACTATTTTTGCCGTTCAATGGGTGGGTTGGGTGTGGTTGGTCTGTCGAAGGCGAACAGCTCAGAAATTAACAAGGAGGAACGCCAAAGCGCGAGCCATTGGACCACAATGATAGTCCCATTTTTGTCAGGTACTAAGTCGCCATCCCGGGCTTCAATAGTAACAGTAGTCATGATAAACTAGCCTCAACACGACCTAGTGAGACTTGCATTCAGCCCTTGTTAGCGCCATTCTCCACTGTCCACCAATATGATGGTGAGAAATTTAGGAACATGGATCGGCAGAGCAAGAAAATTGGTTCGGCTTCGGTTTCCCCACTTCCTGTGCTGGGTTCTTGAAGTCTCAGCTGCCCATCAGAGACTACATATACAGCGTATGTAAGTTTCATTAGACGTTCACACGCCCACAACGGTTCAAGTAAGGGACGGCCTTGTCGGTCAGTGTCGCCATCAAATCATTCAAATAAGCCGCGACAGATCCTCGCTCCGGAATGTGTGGTGCTTGTCACTAACGTTGTTCATTTCTATTCGCTCATTTGGTTAATTGCGCTCGGTTCACCATGGGCGCAGACTATTTGGGTCTGGATGCGGTAGGATGGCATTCCATGGTGAAGACCTGGTGGGATCAAGTAAGACGCCCCGTCATGTGATGCCTCAGCCCTAAGACTGTCTGCTCACTGACTGTGATCACTAGGTTCTGGCCGCTTGTTTGTTGGCTACCATTGTCTTTGGGGGCCTATATATTCTCTTCTTGGCCGGAAGGAAAGTCCGCAAGAGTTGGCGTGTACGTATTTAATGCCCACAGTTCGTGGCACTCACACGGCCCTAAATCATGTTAACATAATAATAGAGAAGGGATCAGCTATCAGTGGTGCCCGCAGCTATTTCCCGGTATCTCGATCGTCTTTCAAAGGAGGCCCAGCCGCTCTCTACAGAGAGATATGCAGGAAAGGAGCTTCAATCGTTCGGTGTCTTCCTCGGCAGCCTATCAAACCCACCAACTCCTGATCAGACGCAGTTATTGCAACAGTGGGATATCACTGTTCTCGACCCTACGCAAGAGGGTGTTCTGGGCTCTCTATCAGGCCAGCGTACAGCTTCCTATACCTTAGGACGACTGGATGTGCGAGCATTTGCGAACTCCGAGCGCGCTTCGAATAACGATGAAGTGATTCAGGCTTTAGAGGCCGTTGCCCAGGCATTGCGGACATGTTTCAAGCAGTCACAGGATGTGCAGTCGCCGTTCAACGGGATTCTTCTCGCTGACTTTCTCGCGCACTTCCAACCCGTTGTATTGAACGCATTGGTAAAGTATATAAACCAGCTCGGGCTCGATGTTTGGCTCGAGCTTTCGCCGCCTGCTTACATTACCGAGCAGCAATGCCGCGACATCGACATGCTGCCTATCAGGGGCTTCATCTATCGCAACGCCACTATCTCGCCTGATGGCAGCAGTCGCAACTACTTCCAAATGACAGAAATGCGAACAGCTATGCGCGCTATAGCATCACAAAAGTCTATGGGCGGTACGACTATCGTGTCGTGGGAGACTATCGATAATGGAGTAGAGTTATCGCACGATGTTATTCACCGGACATTCAAATGGTGCAATTACAGGAGCGCAAGGTGCTGGATTGCGCCCCGTGCCGCCTTGACCGACGCAACAATTGCGACTACAGAGACTATAACTGAGGAGCCGTTGGGGGCACTGATGTGGATGAAAGGCAACGAGGTTACTGAAGCCCATAACGTGTGGAGGTCCAATGGAAAGGTGAGAGTCTCAACCCAAAGCTTAGAAAGCGAACAACCTGACATTAGGTAACAGGTCTGCCCAAACCCCCGCGGTCATGACTCTCTGTACGAATCTTTGCATTCCTTCATTCCCAATCTACTGGCGAAGCTGTCGTTATCACCTCCCGCTAAGGAGCCTCTGATCGATAGTCAAGAGACGGTCATCGACGAGCTCTCTTGGCCGTCGCAGCCGGAACTTACTCAAGAGAACCCTTTCTCCGTTTCTCCTGCAGGTAATGACTATACGGGGCTAGGATGTTTCCAACTCGGACTCGACTGCACATCCCGAGACATTGCCGATTTAGTCGATGCACAGCGACATGTTAGAGATCTTGACCTCCTTGAGCGTATCAAACTAGAGGAACTTCACAGTATCGCTGGACAATTGCGTACTCTCCAAAACGTGACACACATGACAGCCTCCGGGGTGTCCCACGCTGCGAGAGAATTGCTTGCTATCCTCAGTTCTTGCGATGGTAGTGAAACAGATACCCTCAAAGTCTATGTCGGATTACATTCTGGATTTCGCACACGCCTAGAAACACAGGTCTGGGGTATGTATGATACCGATACCACTTCGGGTACTCTCAACCTCAACATCTATCTCTCGGCGAAGGCACAGGACCGTACTAGCACCCTTCTACACACGTTCATGTCCAGCAGGGGATATTCTAGGTTTGAATGTCTTATGGCCGAGGTCGCACTAGCGACACAGACCGGAAGTCTGTCAGGGACCTGGGGATTGCCATCACGTATCATGCACGACATCGAACAACTTACTCCGACCGAGGCAATCTTGTTTCTGCGTCGCCTAACAGCCTCTGAGTGTTCGATATCTTCGGATTTGTCTCAAAACGTACGCGCATTCTGTGAATATCAGCTCATAGAGGCTCCGTCTCTTTCTCAGCTCAGAGCTTTGAGCTCTACTGCGTACCTGGGCGGCGAGATCTCCGCCGAGGACCTTGTTAGTTCCCGACTTGCATGGTATCGGGAACAAGGATGCTGGTGCCCTGATCCTACGGCTGCTGTAGCTCTTTTCAAGGAGGTCGATGCCAAGCTACCGACAATCCTTATTAATGGGGAGCTTCAGCTTCTGACCCAGCTCGCTACGGTCGCTCATACTATCCTGCAAACAGATCAAATCGATGCTGCTGCCGATTTGTTTGCATTGTCCGTCTTTTGTGCATTCCGCAAGCTCGCCCTCAATGAAGTCTATCTGGAAGTCCTCGACCGTAACCCCTTGCCCAACAATGACATGCTCCAGGCCTCTTGTTTCGCAGAGATGTACGCGGTGGGTGCGCGCTGTGACATGTACTTCGATATGGCACCTATACTTCTCGGAAAGATCCTCGCCACCCGGTACCGCGCGTACTACGACGTCCACCAACCACCTCGCCGGGATGACATGTTCACGGAGCTCCCGACAGCGTATGCATCCATGGACATTGACTTGGATCCAAAGGGTGAACAAGAAAGACCATCGGTGTTTTATCAATTCACATTCCTTGGAATCTTCGCTGTTCCAGCCTTGATCGACATCATCATGCTCACGACCGTTGGCCGAGGTCTTTACCTTACCACATTCATGAGCAACATCGATAAGTCGTTGGCGACACTTGCGTTGATGATAGCACTTATCCTCTGTGGTGGATTCGGTGGCTGGATCAGTTCTGGAGGAAACTATTACCTTAATGCCATGGCTTTCCCAGCCATGAGTATGTTCGTGATGACTCGATTCGTCGCCGGACTCGCAGTTGCCTTCGTCGGTGGCATCTTTGCAATGATCGGCATTGGTGTCATCAGTGGCTTTGAGCACGGGGTTGTCTTCTTTCTGTACTTCGTGATGCTGTCGACCTTCCTCATGACTCTTTCT